CCTAAACCCTAAACCCTAAACCCTAAACCCTTAACCCTAAACCCTAAACCCTAAACCCTAAACCCTAAACCCTAAACACTTTTTTTCCAGGGTCTACTCCAGAGCTAAGGCAGAGGTGAGGGCCCGGGCCTTGGAGATGGATCGCGAGGCAACCGCAGCCCTGGAGGAGTGGCTTGCCTTGCCAAAAAAACTTTGTTATTATTATTATTATTATTTCTATTATTATTAATATTATTATTATTATTATTTCTAGTATTATTATTTTTAGTTGTTAAATTTAGTGGCTTCGTTGTAGAGTTGGCCAAGAAAAGTGAGCTTTAAACTTTGTTGGGGTTTTCTTCTTAGTTCGTCGCTTCGTTGTAGAGTAGGTATCCTTTTTAACCTTTTTGGGGTAAGATACTCCCCTTATCATCCCGATGGTTGACCTTAAGTTCCCCTAGCTACTGGACAACTGGGGTAGGAATGATCAAGTTTAACCTTTCTATATTCCTTGGTTCTTGGACAAGCAAGGTGGGAATCTTCGTGCCCCGAGGGTGAGTTGGCTGAGCGTGCCAACGCCTTCGCCGTGCAGAAGGTGCAGGAGTGGTGGCAGCTGGCTTGGCACCTCATTGCGAAGTACGGCCGCTTGGTGACCACATACAACGAGTCCGACAAGGGGGTGGATGCCGATGGCCAGAAGTATCCACTCTGGTGGCTGAGAAGCCCAGACGTCGGCTTCACCTTGTGGTCACCCTCTGGGCCCTTCCATGGCCTTCCCTATGGGAATCTTGGCTTTCTCTTAGGTTTTTGTAGAAACCCTAAACCCTAAACCCTAAAAGCCTAAGAGTTTAAACTCTTCGGAGTCAGCCAAGGAATCATGGGATTACGAGCCTCGACGCCCGATGGATCTCTTGCCTTGGCGTTGCGCTGATCTTTGGTGCAATCACCTATGTTTTGGGCCTGCAACATGGCCGCCGCATGGAGTGCAACGACACCCATGGAAATTACGTCTCCATTGAGCCTTAAGGATTAGGGCTAGGGCCCGAGTCCTAGAAGTTTTGGGGCGCGCGCACATGCCCGCCGCATGGAGTGCAACGACACCCATGGAAATTACCAACTTACGTCTTCCTTGCGCCTTAGGGGCAGGGCGAGGGCCCGAGTCTCTAGCACCGAGACAGGGCGGTGCGAGGCATCCAGGAAGAAACAGAGAAGCAGATGCCCAAGTCCCTCTGTCCGCACCCCTACTTCGTAGCCCAGTGGTACCCTTTACCCTTTTTTGGGTTCTGGGTTCCCTTTCACAGTAACCAACCCCAAAAACGGTGCCCTCATCATAAGATGGTTCCTGGGCTGCCAAGCCTATCAGCCTACAGCAAAGGGGAGCGGACGCCCCCAAGATTTAGGGTTTAGGGTTTAGGGTTCAGGGTTTAGGGACACGAAGGCCATGAAATTCAGGCGTGTTGGAGTTGTTTTGCATGTTGAGGGAGTGTCACGGCTTAGGCAGTTTAGAAGTTCACCCTAAACTCTAACACGCCTCGCACCTATAGCCCCCCCTTAGGAAGTACCTTAAGGCCCAAGTATTCCCCTAAACCCTAAACTTTATTCAGGTGGACCCTGAGGATTAGTTAGGGTTTAGGTTTAGGGTTTAGGGCTTAGGGTTTAGGGTTTAGGGTTTAGGGCTTAGGGGAGATTTAAAGCTCAAGTGCTGGGATTTGGGATGGACGCTCGTCTGGCCGGCTTGGTCATTCCAGGCGCTCCAGGATCATCTTGTAACAGTGGCAGGGCTTCTTTCTGTGGTGCATGTCAGAACCTAGGACAGGGGGTATGCCCTGCCTTCCTTTTTTTAGGGTTGGGGTTCCCTTCTAATCCCCTTAAACCCAAAAAAGGGCACCCTTTTATGCCTAGGTTACTCCCGGGCTTAGGAACTATAGGGCAACTAAATAAAGGTCTTGTGACCTACACTTCGCTAATCCCTAAACCCTAAACCCTCTACCCCCAAACCCCAAACTTCCAACCCCAAACTCTAAACCCTAAACCCGAAGCCCTGCGCGAGGTACTTTGAGACGGCCTGGTGTGAACTTGCAGATCCATGCAACAACCGAGGCGCCGGCATTCTCTGAGTTTTTTTAAGGTGTCTTAAGCCCCGTTCATGGGCTAAACCTTAGCCCCCCAAACCCTACATCCTAAACCCCAAACCCTAAACCCCAAGCCCCAAAAACCCTAAACCCCAAACCCTAAACCCAATACCCCTAAACCCTAAACCCTTAACCCTACACCCCCAAACCCTAAAACTTTGAGGATTTCGGGCGCGCGCAAGATTTCACGTCTGGCTTTTAAGGCGGCTTCTCCTCAGAGATTCGACCCTAGGCTTGGTTTAGGGTTTAGGGTTTCGGGTTTAGGGTTTAGGGTTTAGGGTTTAGGGTTTAGGGTTTAGGGTTTAGGGTTTAGGGTTTAGGGTTTAGGGTTCATTTCGGTTTAAAGTTTGGGGTTTTGGGTCTCCCCCACTCTCTCTCTCTCTCTCTCTCCGCCTCTCCCTCCCTCTCCCCTTCTCTCTTTATGTTGTTGTATGCAGTGGGGGGGGCTCTGCATTCTCTTGTGTGTGAATTGTGTTTTTGGGGGTGGTGGGGGTTTAGTACAGCAAAAGGCCCTCTAAGACCCATAGAGACCTTCTAAAACCCTGAGGAGGCTGACTTTATTCAACGTTTAGGGGTTTAGGTCTTAGGGTTTGGAATTTGGGGTTTTGGGGTAGTTTAGGCTTGCGGGTGTGGGGTTTAGGGTTTAGGATTAGTGGTTTCGGCTTTGGGGTTACTTGTTGGGACTGTCTGAAGGGCCCCACAGCCCTCAACCCTAAACCCTAAAACTCTAAAACCCTAAACCCTAAACCCTAAACCCTGAACCCTGAACCCTGAACCCTAAACCCTAGATTGATTTTTCTGGGGGGGTAAGGCCTGGGCCTTGAGGGTTGAGGGTTGCGGGTTTAGGGTTTAGGGTTTAGGGTTTAGGGATTAGGGGTTAGGGTTTTGGGTTTCGGGGTTTAGGCTTTACGGACTTTTGAGCTTAGGGTTCAGGGTGAAATGAGGTGCCGCTCCACTTAACTAAGACACAAGTTTGGTTTCAGGGTTTAGGGTTTAGGGTTTAGGGTTTAGGGTTTAGGGTTTAGGGCTAGGAATGTCCATGTGTACCGGGGGTCGAATTCTCTGGGTCTCAGGGTCTCGCGAGGTGTCTGCCTCAAGGACAAGGGCAAATGCTCGTGTACCTTGTCGGCAAGGGGTCATCGAGACAGCGCCCTAGACCCTCAACCCGAAACCCTATCTTTCAAAAGCCTGAATTCCTAACCCCTAGCCCCAGCTAAGCCCTAGAACCCGAACAAGACCTGCTTCAACAACCAAGCCTTGATTCAGCAAACATATTTCTGCAACCACGGTTCCCACACCAAACTCCCGGATTCAGCAAGCAAGAACCCAGGTTAAGGGTTTAGGGTTTAGGCAAACGGTTTAGGCTTTAGGCATTAGGCATTAGGCTTTAGGCTTTAGGCTTTAGGCTTTAGGGTTTAGGGTTTAGGGTTTAGGGTTTAGCGTACCTGCTCTATCCACCAATGCGAAGAATTCAACAACCAAACCTGCATCAACCATGTTAGGTCAGACCCAGTCTTTGCAAAAGGGACCCGAAACTTTTGAAAGCCCAGCCCGAGGCCCTGACGGGGAGGTTGTGGATTTGGGGTTCAGGTTTGGCTTTTAGGGTTTGGGGTTTAGATTTCAGGGTTCAGGGTGTAGGGTGTAGGGTTGAAATGGTAGAGAGAGGAGGAGGATGGGCGTTTATGGCTGTGTAAACTTCACTAACCCGACAGGCCAGGCCCGAATCAAAGCCCTAGGCCTACAACCCTCTACACCCGAAATCTCTAAAGCTTGCTCCTTAAATCATATTCCGATCCCCAGATACAGGACATTTCTTTAAACAAGGGAAGCTTGTGAATCTGGGAACCCGTGCGCCAACCCGTCCTCCCCCCCACGAGCCCTACGTGTAAGGACTCTGGGTCGGGTTTTGGGGTTGAGGGTTTAGGGTTGAGGGTTGACGAAGACCCCGATGCGCTGAGTAGGTAACCTCTCTAGAGCCTAAACGTGAACCTTCCGTTCCCTACTTGGAGCTTCATGGGTACATGGACCCCCGAGACTAGCAACCTACTCAAGGGACTCAGCGGGCTTCTAGGTGCAGTTCGAATTGGGAATGTAAGTACCCTTGAACCGCCAAGTCTTACTCTCAGCCACGAAGAACCCAGGCTTGTAGACCCTCGTAACACAAAGGTTAATCCTTTTCCCCAATTTCAACCCTAAACCCTAAACCCTAAAACCCGACACTCAACGCTAAGGCCTCACACAGCGCAAGTTCTAACAAAAGGTAGGACCTTGGGATATGACTTATATCGGCCCCTGTTGGGTTTTAAGAGGGTCTCATTCAGGAAGATGCTCAAAAAGGAGTTTTCGGGCACAGCCAGAAAAAGCCCATTCTTGACTAAGCTAGAACCCGGAGTGGGCCCTTAGTTTCTTTTTGTTTAGGGTTGGGGTTCCCCTAGAATCCCCTAGAAACCAAAAAGGGTGCTCTTTCTATTCCTAGGTTTCTCCTGGGTCTAGTTCTTGACTAAGGTATGCAGGGCTACCAGGGAACAGACTGCTCCAGCTGCAGTGACGGCCCCGACCTCGGGACATGAGAGCGTCGACCCCAGGATTTTGGGTTTGGGGTTTAGGGTTTAGTTTTTCAAGCTGTAGGGGTGGAGGGGTTTCTGGGTTAAAGGCTGAGGGTTTAGTGCCTGAAGGCCTCAGCCCCGTATCCTGTAAAGGAAGTTTTGTCTAGATAGCGTAGTAAACGCAGTGATCGCATCAACAGCAGTAAATGTACAGACGAAAACAAATCGCCATACTTGTAGTAGTAATGCTTCTGTGCCGCGCCCTTGAGAAGCGCTTTCTTGTGTTTGGGTCAAAAAGCAGCTATCCACGGGCTGTGCGAGCTTAGCGGTCTCCTTGTAAGCTATGGAAAGGGAGCTGGCCCACCTTGCAAAGACCGTGTCGAAGATGGACTTTGACAAGCTTGGGCGCATATTCCAGCACATGGATACTGCCACGGCAAGTGACATTCTAACACAAGCCCAGGACAGGATCGACTGTGATGATCCCTGCGGCACGAATGTGGCGGTGCAGGTCCTGAAGGAAATGGAGCTGAAAAAGGCCGCCGACATCTTGATGTCCATGGGCGTGGCAGGCATGAGCAAGGTTTTGTTCCGCCGTGAAGGTGTCAGTCGAGACTTTGCCTGCAAGGTCTTCTCACTGATGGACACTGCTACTCTTCGGGAGATCCTCCTCAGAAGATACAAGGAGGATAAGACTCTGCTGGGCCTTTTCTTACACATGGACACAGTCAAGGTTGCAAGCTTCCTTGCTGAGATAGAACGTGCCCGGGCGGCTGATCTGATTTCCTCGGAAGTCCAATGCGACGGCTTTTTTGATCGGAATCGGCAGTGGCAGAAGCTTTGGGATGTTTGGGAATATTTTTCTAATTGTTGGGTACTATAATTCCTAAGAAACAGCTTTTGGGTACTATAATTCGTAAGAAATAGCTAAAATCATACTGTTTGCGATGGTTCCAAGATCAGTATAAAGGAAGATTGCAAGCTTCGTGGCAGCCATGGAACCACTGGTTGCCGCAGAGATTCTTGAGAAGATGGCCGCGAAGGAAGACAAGACAGTACCTTTTGATCCTTTTGAAGCAGATCCTCGGGTTACTCGGGTGTCAGTCAACTACATCCTGTTTTGTCTCAGCAGCTTGCACGCAAGCGCTGTACTCATGTTTATGGATGACTCTCAAGCAGCTCGTTTGTTGGCGGAGGTGAGGGAGAAGAATGCGGCGGACATCCTTGTAAAGCTTCCAGCAGCCAAGGCTGCGTTCATGGTGGCGACCATGCAAGTCAAGGATGTTGTCGCAATACTCGGTTGCTAGGTAGGCCCTTGGGATATTTTGTTGTTTTTCCCTACTGTGTTTAAGAGGAATAGATTTAGGAGTCTTTTTCAGAGGGTTTTTAGGGCCATCCTAGGCTACATGGAAAGCGCCGCTGCACAAAAGATCTTGAATCTGCTGCCCTTCCACAAGGCGGCCGCAGTAACTGCGATGTCAGCACGATCCATGTCAACCGACGAGATGCTGCAGATGAATGCGGAGGATGCTGCTAAAGCTATCCTCCAAATGAATGTTGACAAGGCAGCTGCGCTCTTTGCCGATGCTTCGCAGAAGCGCCGGCGTCTAGCATAATGCAGTTGGGCGAAGCATTATCTTCTTTGTGATCTGACGGGTTTGGCTGAGATCGAACAAGACGACTTATCAGGCTACACAACTACGTGGTTCGTTGTATGCCCCATCAGTGCCGGGAACTGTCAGGGCTTGATACGAACATGTTGTCAGCTTGCAGCAGCAGTTGAAAAAAGCCCGTGTGGACCAGAGTCAGCGCGCGTAGTAGAGAGTGATAGTATCAAAAAGAATGGTAGTGATCTGAGTAATTTGGGCAACAAAAAGTAGCAATGGTAGTAAGAACATGTCCACCCGGTCTCTTGCCTCAAGTTGTCGGTCACCAGCTGAGATGACACCGGAAAAGCACAGACTCCGAAATATTTGTGCAATGTGCACACATCAAGCACAAGCAGGACCGACACAAACTCGAAATCACGGCCGCTGAAGCAAAAGGTGATCACAACTCGCACAGGAATTACACGGGTGTCCACAAAGATGAGAACCAGTCACGCACGAGTAATGCATTTAGCTGTGCTAGGGGTTTAGGGTTTAGGGCGCTACTTGGGGGCTTCCAGGTTTGGGCTCGTGTAGCACTTGGCATCTAGAGGGAAACTACATGAGCCCTGAAAGGCTCGAGGGTTCGGCATTCTGCGCATAGGGCCCGCGATGCCCAAGAAGGAGCCTGAGTAGCATAGGGTTTAGGGTTGAGGGTTTAGGCCCAAAAAGGAACCTCAGTAGCATAGGGTTCAGGGTTGAGGGTTTAGTACTTAGGGAGGGAAAAATGACAGTCTTAGTGTTTATTTCTGTAGTCCCCATTGCAAGGCCTTGTGAAGCCTGTGCAGCCAGGGTTTAAGGATTTTGGGCTTCAGGGTTTAACGTTTCGCTTCTCGATTCGGGCTTGCACGAAGCTTCCCGATTGCATATCGTGACGGCCAGTACTTAAAACAGCATCGGTGTTGCAATCGTAGTGGTAGTCAGCAGCGTCGTTGTTGTCGACGGAGTGGGTCATTGCTGCAATGAAGTGCAATCTGCTGAGGCTATTTCACACGACATAGCAACAAGCGCAGCGACTACCCTGGTTTCGCCTGCCGAGACCTAGCTGCATGAGACATGAGTTGCAGGGGCGTAAGGTGCATATTGCAGCTTCATCAAAGTTCACTATCATGTAACCCTAAACCCTAAACCCTAAACCCCAAAACCTAGACCAGAAAGTTCCCAGAAGGGCCCTAAGATTGTGTACCTAGACCCTGCGGGGGGGATGGGGTGCGGGGGGTTTACATGAGGGGAAGGGGCTTCGGGGTTCATAAGCTGCGGCTGGGAGTTTAGGGTTTAAGGGTTTAGGAGTTCAGGGTTTAGGGTTTAGGGGTTTAGGGTTTACGGGTTTAGGGTTTAGGGGTTAGGGGTTTAGGGTTTAGGGTTTAGGGTTTAGGGTTTAGGGTACATTAAGGGAACCGATTACAACCGGGTACAAGCCTGACTCCCTTGACCCAAGCGCGGAATGCAAGATAGACCCCCAGATGCACAGAGGACTCAGATTTCCATCATCCTCGACCCCCGCATGTGTCTTTGGATTCGGGGCATATCCGGGTTTCGGGTCTGCTGGGGCACCTGGAATTTAGCTTCCCACATCTGAACCTTATAAAGCCTAAACCCTAAACCCTACACCCTAAACCCTAAACCCCTACACCCGAAACCCTGACTAAGCTTGGGTTCTCAGCTCTTGGAAGTGGTTTCACTAGCTTTCGTTCATCGTCTTGGTTCTTAAACAACCCCCCCCCCCCAAAAAAAAAAAAAAAAAAAAAAAACTCTTAGAACCCTAACCCTAAACCCTAAACCTGAGCCCTACTTGGAGCCCTAAACCCTAAACCATTAACCAGTTATAACAGTTCTTTTAACCGACTTATCAGCCCCTTAAGTGCCCTAAGATGGTTGCAAGTACGGTTAGAAGCACAGGTATAATTGGTTTTTAAGTACCATGAAACTCCAAGCACAAAACCTAAACGCCAAACCCCAAACCCCAAACCCCAAACCCTAAACCCTAAACCCTAAACCCTAAACCCTAAACCCTAAACCCTGAACCCTGAACCCTGAACCCTGTGGCCTCGCCGAGATGCTTGCCCGGGACACCTCAGCGAGAACGGCACCTGCAGCGGCCGCGGGCTGTGTGCCTCGTGCTATGAGAGCGATCATGCCCACTGGCCCTTTTTGGGTTTAGGGTTTAGGGTTCAGGGTTCAGGGTTTAGGGTTCAGGGTTCAGGGTTCAGGGTTTAGGGTTTAGGGTTTACGGCTTAGGGTTTAGGGTTTCGACCCCCTAAGCTTAGGGATACTTGGATAAGTTATAATTTTTGCTTGGGTTCCAAGTTCAGTATAGAAAGCCCGACACCTCAACCCCTAACCCCTAAATAGCCTTCAACCCTAAACCCTAAACCCTAAACCCTAAATACTGCCCTGCGAGGATCTCATTGGGGAATGTGAGGGTTGAAGGCTTTGTCGCCCTAAACCCTAAACCCTACTTAAACCCCTCAACCCTAAACCCTAAACCCCTCATCCCTAAACCCTAAACCCTAAACCCTAAACCCTAAACCCTAAACCACCCCCCATCCCTAAACCCGCAACCCCCCAACAACCAAACCCTAAACCTAAACTCTGCATAGGCTGGGCTTGGGGTTTGAAGGCTTCATCCCTAAAAGCCGTTTAGGGTGTAGGGTTTAGGGTTTAGGGTTTAGGGTTTAGGGTTTAGGGGTTAGGGTTTAGGGTTTAAGTTCAGGGTTGAAGGGTTTAGGGTTTAGGGTTTAGGGTTATCCCTAAATCCTACACCCGCAACCCCAAACCCCGAACCCTACTATATTGGCGCCGTGGTACATGTGAATTTAATTTGAACTTATGCTGGACTTATCTTACATACGTTTTAAGTAGGAGATAAGTTGTGTATAAGTTCGAAGGCTTGCTTTTTTTCATCGCTTCATGAACAGCACCTTTGTTTCGAAACAAAAAAGGCGCACGGCTTAAGGCATGGCAGAAAACTATGCCCAGAGATGCAGAGAGACCTTTTGCTTCTTGCAAGCATGGCAAGGCCAAACGTGCCAAAACAAGGAAAAAGCAGGCCAACTCCGCTCGCGGGCACCCGCGGACAGCAGACCACGCCCGATGGTAGTGGCGCGGGGTCCGGGCTTATATGAGCCCATGCAGGCGGAAATCATTTCCGCGGAAGTGGACGTCCGCGAGCCAGGGCTTGACCTAAATTGTCGCGGACACTGGCGGACACCTGGCAGACACCTTGCGGACAAGGCGCCCAAGGCGCCCAAGCGTCCCGAGGTGGCCGGGGAGGCTTTAACGCTGCCAGCCAACTATAGAATATCTGTTGCAGGGGCTGCAAGACCGATTTCTTCAATGTTAGCTGAAATGCATGCGCGAACCAGTGAAAAAATCCCAAAATGTAAAACAGATAAGTGGAGATAAGTTCGATATAAGTTTTTTGACATAACACCAAAGTTCCTAAGTCCGAGATATGTCAAGCAAAAAATGTCGAACTTTTCTGGAACTTAATTATATAAAACAAACTTAACTCCAAGATACACAACTTAATCGATACTTAATCGATACACATCACATACTTATAAGTCGATAAGTCGGCGGGGTCAATTAAGTATCCTCATCCCCTACGAGCCTCAAACCCTGAACTCACACTGTCGGGTTTAGGCGGCATCTAGCTCTGCAATTGTCGGAAACCCTAAGAAGCGCTAGACGGCAGCTTTTGCACTCGGGACACCGCCTGCTACCAAGTGAGGGCGCTATCAATTGCCGCGCTAAGTGTTCCGTTCCTGTCGGTTCTGGACCGTGTGTTCACCATGGAGTCCTGGCTCTGCCTGCTGCCGGCCCGGTTTCCGTGGTCGCCTGTTTGCTTTCCAATCCAAGACGGCGCGGGCACCAATAGCACCAGAACGATGACGTTTTCAAGGCTCTCCGACACGCCTGGTCTAAGCGACTCGGGTCTGGTGCCGAAGATTGCTACTGCACTGTCCTCCGGCAACAAGACCCCGCCCCTTTCGGACCAGGAACTGCTTCCATTCCCTATACCTAAACCCAAAATACCTCAAACCCGAAACCTTAAACCCTAAACCCTAGACTAGAAGCCCTAGATACCCCCAAACGCTAAACCCAAACCCTAAGCCCTAAACCCCCAAACGGCAAACTCTAAGCCGTACCCCAAACCCTAAGCCCAAAGCCCAAAACCCCAAAATACCTAATTACCCCACACCCTAGGCCGACAAACAGAGTAAACTATAAGCCCGAACCACCCCCACACCCTAGGCCCAAAAGCCGAAACTATAAGCCCGAAACTCCTCACACCCTAAACACCTCACACCCTAAACCCTAAGCCCGAAACCCTAAATACCCCACACCCTCAGCGACCCAAACTCCCTACAAGGTGCTGATGATGAAGTTTCCAAGGAAGAGGCGCAGGCCGGCCGTGGCCCTAAGGTTTAGGGTTTCGGGTTTAGGGTTTAGGGTTTAGGGGGAGGGGGGGAGTAGGGTTTGTAGAGTGTGTGTTTTTCTGTGGCTTTCAGAACCCCCAAACAATAAGGGTCTGGGATTGTGTTTAACCTGAACTCAAGACCCTGAACCCTGCCAACCCCACAACCCTAGAAACCCCTAGAAACAACAAAGCAACCTAATACCCTAAACCCTAAACCCTAAACCCTAAACCCTAAACCCTAAACCCTAAACCCTAAACCCTAAACCCTAAACCCACAAAAGGCTGCGGACGCCTTTGAGATGATGTCCCGGCTCCAGCTCGCCTTCCAGCAACCGCTTCCGCAGGGTTGAGGGTTTAGGGTTTAGGGTTTAGGGTCCATGGGAACTGTTTGGTGTTGTTGTCAGGGCATCTTGGGGTTTAGGTTCCAAGGTGTAGGGTTTAAAGTTAGGGTTAGAGTCTTTGGCAAGGGCTCTGGCGGGTCTAAGGTTTAGATGTTTGGGTGTTGGGTTCAGAGTTCAGGGTCGTAGGTGCTACTGGATCTGCGCGAGGACGTTTATTGTTTAAGTGCCCAGAAAGAGTGTGATTCTTGCAACTTGCTATGTTGTACGAAACTTGTTCGTTCCCAGAAAGGGAACAGGAATTGAGGGTCTATGTAAAGTATGTAGATGATGCAGCCACCAGGATGCTCTGTGCGAAAAGAACCGCAAGCAATAGAAGCCCAAGCGACCGCAAGCCTGAACCCTAAGCCCTAGACCCTATACCGTTTTAGGGTTTAGGGTTTAGGGTTTAGGGTTTAGGGTTTAGGGTTTAGGGTTTAGGGTTGCCTATACCCTAAACCCTAAACTGTACAAGCAAGGGGGGGTAACCCAAGTCGTGCCTGTTCGGTGGCTCTTTGTGCGTGACTTGCAGTAACTATACTTGGAGGTTCATGGTACTTATTAAACAACTATAACTGTATTTATAACCCACTTATAAGCCCCTTAAGTGCCCTAATATGGTCTAACCCCTAAGCCCTAAACCCTAAACCCTAAACCCTAAACCATAAGTGCAGTAAAAAGTACGGTGAAAATGGGTTCATGAGTACCATGAACTTCCAAGTATCGCTCCAGAGAGACCGCGCCTACCAGAACTGTAGGTTTAGGGTTTTAGGGTTTTGGGGTTTCGGGTTTAGGGTCTAGGGTTTAGGGCTTTGGGGTTTCGGGTTGAGGGTCTAGGGTTTAGGGCTTTGGGGTTTCGGGTTTAGGGTTTAGGGTTTAGGGTAGAGAGTCCACCTACCATAAATGTTTTGACCTCTTCTCTGCGTCAGCCCAGCATCGACATCGACCGAGGTATGGCAACGGGACTTGCACGTGCTCCGAGCACTTCGGCGGCGCGAGCTGCGAGCAAGGTGCCAGCTTACGGACCGGAGACCTAAACCCTAAACCCTGAACCCTAAACTAAACCCTTAACCCTAAACCCTAAACCCTAAACTTCCTTCTACGGGTCCGAAGGATACCATAGACACTCCGACCGCGAATCCAATGCAACCTGAGTTCCAAACCCGAAACATCCTGCAACCTCAAAGGGTTTAGGGTTAGGGTTTAGGGTTTAGGGTTTGGGGTTTGGGGTTTGGGGTTTGGGGTTTGGGGTTTAGGGCTAGAACCCTAAACGCTCAAAATTCCACAAACCCGCAGAGATCTGAGCTTTAGGGTTTGAGGTTTTGGGTCAGGACCCTAAACGCTCAAAATTCCGAAAACCCGCAGAGATCTGAGCATGTCAGAGGAGAGTTGGCTAAGAGCAGCAATGACCTCGAGTTAGTGACCCCTTAAGGCCCTCTCCCCCAACAAATCCTAAACCCTATGGGTTTAGGGGTTCCTAGGGTGTACTATTCTTCTCCATGTACCTGCTTTCAAGAACCCCCTGACCCCAACTACGGGTAGCTGGGAGGTCTAGGTAGCCCCCCCCGTCCCGCGGTTTCGGGTTTCGGGAAAGGGCTTGAGCCCTAAACCCTAAACCCTAAACCCTAAACCCTAAACCCTAAACCCTAAACCCTAAACCCTTCTTAACATGTGTCCGCTTAATGGGGAAGACTTGGGCCGGAAAAGACTTCCTGTGTGGGGACTGTAGGGCCCCAGTGCACAATAATGAATGCACACTAAGCCTGGTCCTTTAGGGTTTAGGGTTTAGGGTTTAGGGTTTAGGGTTTAGGGTTCAGGGTTCAGGGTTCAGGGTTTAGGGTTCAGGATTTAGAGTTCAGGGTTCAGTGTTCAGGGTTCAGGGTTTAGGGTTTAGGGACGTGCTCAAGTGAAGCAACTTACCAGTTCGTTGTTTGGGTGCATGTAAACCCTCCTGGCTTCTCCACATGAGCCAGGCCCAAAGCTGTGTGGTTTAGGGTTTAGGGTTTATATAGGGTTTAGGGTTTAGGGTTAGGGCTTAGGGTTTAGGGTTTAGGGTTTAGCGTTTAGGGTCTAGGGTTTAGGGTTTAGGGTTTAGGGTTTAGGGTAGCTATGACTTTAAATGCATCGCCTGCAACAACAGTTGGAGAAATGGAACAGCTCGAGATGGTAACATCACACAGCCCATGTTGCTGCATGCTAACGAAAATAACCTGCGAGCACACGATTGGTAGGTGTTGGGTTGGTCTAGCAATTTGGGCAGGCAAGACAACGAGCATTGAAGTATTCTGACAAGGGTCGCCAGCGCCTTGACATTGCTGTTGTCACGGTACGGCTTGGTACATTGAACCAGAAGCCGCGAGGGTGCTCAAGGCATCACTGACTCTTGGTATGTCGTGGCCGCAAGCGTCAAACTGAAGCTTGAACTAGCGGTTTGCCTTCTCAGCGTTTCTCAAAGTGAGTGAAAGAGGAGTTGTGGAACCAGTAGGATTGGGGAATGCATTTTCAAGGACGGTGAGAACTAGGGGGACCCCCGAAAAAATGCTGCATGCATGGCCACAAGGAGCTGCCGTCACACGTCCTTATGTTCATGTTGCGCCGGCTGCCAGGCAAACCCACACTGCCTGCGGACCGTTGTTGGCAGAGTGTTTCTGAGAACGCGCGCAACGCATGGTATGCCCTAAGGGTCCATGTACCTCATTATTATGTACTTGGGCCCTAAAGTCCCCACCCTTAGGTATGGTTCCTCTTCTTATGTCCTACGCCTGGTCGATTTCCGAAGTCTTCATCCCAAACATCTGAGGTGAAAGGGTCATCTATCCAGATAGTACATACTCAGACCCCAAAACAACAACATATTAGTTCGACATAGTCTTTACTCCCTTTAAAATCTACCTGCCAGACCCCAGAATACGTCAAACCCCCAAGGTGTTTGTCCGGCTGGCCTGCAGTACATTCACGACGCCATCGTTGCACATTGCCGTCTCTGCCGCTACACTGCGCCCAGTTCAGGGCGACACATAACTTTGAATTTTGGAAGATTGCCGAGTTGTGAAATGTAGTCGTCGTATCAAGAAGCAAGTTACATCTCGGGAGCGGGATTGCTGGAGGCTTTGTAGGGCAACTGCGGATGCCTTTAGCATGTGCACAAGAAAGGGTGCCGATTGAACTGCATCGAACATCATGATGCCCTTTTTCCGCAATATTGAAGTAAAACGAACATGTAATTCCTAAACCCTAAAACCCTAAACCTTACACCCTAAGCCCAAATCTTTTGGGAAGGATCTTCGGGACTCAACGTCGCAGCAGTCGGCCCTTCCTTCCCTACTCAGGTGGTGTTTAAGATTTACAGATTTACAGTTTAAGCTTAAGGGGGATGGCGCAGAAAGTGGCGCTCCAAGCTCTAAACCACACAACTAAAATCACAAATTCTTAGTAGCTGAGTGAGCACACTTTACACTTTTTGGGATGCGATAATCCCCAATAGAACTGAAAGTGTACACTTTTTGGGGGCTTATGAACTCAATAACTAAGAATTAACCCAACCAAGATTTCAGCAAGGACCTATCCAGAAGCTGCAAGACCCGTGAATTGGGGATTTTGCTTGTGTTGCAATAGGGGTCTTAATGCGATAATAGGCTACCTTTGTCGTAGATATGAGCAGTTCATCATGATGCCCTTTCGGACCCTTATTCACAAAAGACCTGTCCACCTGAAACCCTAAACCTAACTGCACGACAACAGTGGCTGGTCAGACCTCCCTTCTCTAACCCTAAACCCTACACCTACACCCGAAACCCTAAAGTGCTTTGTCCTGAAATGCCAAGTTACCCACACCAAGGGTCTACTGTATGCCCTCGCACCCCCACTCCGCCACCTGCCTCCCCATTTTAGGGATACTTGGAAACAATTTGAATTGTTGGGCACTTTAATTCCTAAGAAACAATTACAATCTTTGCTAGGGTTCCAAGGTCAGTATAGTCATTCCCAAAGTATCTAAGCGCACGTGCAAAGGCGAACCCGGGCATTTTAAGCCCGAGGCGGACAACAACGCGAAGTGCCGCAACACGGCTGCAACACTGCAAAGACTTTGGTGCACCTGAGCTTAAACCCTCAACCCCAAACCCCAAACTCTAAACCCTCGGACGTAGGATCTCCACCCCACCCCCCCCCTCCGCCCCCAACACGGAGCGTGTATCGAGGGTTCTTGCAATCCTCGAAGCCTACGTTCCAGAGTCCTTCTTAGGACGCCATGGCTCACCCTAAGGGTCCATGTACCTCAAGATGCCATGGCTCACCCTAAGGGTCCCTGTATCCTAATATTAGGATTCAGGGAGTAGGGTTTGGGGTTTAGGGTTTAGTGTTTAGGGTGCTTCTTTTTTATCTACTTGGGTCCCAAAGGGCCCAAGTATTCCCTTAATTACTTCGGTAACTATTCCCTTATTTTCGGTATATGGACCCTTAGGGTTAGCTTGTTGGGCCGGCATTGAACTGCCGGAGCACGTGGCCTTCACCCACATAGCTTCTGCTCTCACAGTGGGCATCGGGTTGCCGACTGCCAGGCTTCCTTGGCCTAGGCCCTCAAGGTTAGGGTTTAGGGTTTAGGGTTAGGATTTCGGTTCATGAGTTCTGAGATGCCTCTCCTCCCCAACATTCGGGACCCTAAACCCTGAACCGTCAACCCAATAAACCCTACAAAGCCTATAAACCCTAAACAGCCTATGAACCCTATCAACCCTACAAAACCTTTTCAAACCCCATAAGCCCTTTAAACCTGTAAAGCCCTGCAAAACCCTTAAAACCCTATAAAGCACAAGAAAACCAGAAACCCTATAAAAGCTCTACAAATTTCTAAACAGACCCTGAACATCTTTGAGGCGAGTGCCCGGCGAATCACTACACGCCTGAGTCCGGATCCTTGGTAGCTGAATGGGTACACTTTACACTTTTTTGGGGTTTGGGGTTTAGGGTTTAGGGTTTATGAACTCAGCAACTAAGGATCGGCTCAATGCTACAACTGCGTCGGCAACATCTTCATCTACTCCGTGAATAAGGATGGGACAGCCCCTAGTATAGTATATTGAATATGGTTTATAAGGAGCCCCCGCGAATAAGGCTGGGACAGTGTGTTCGGGTTTTGGCGTGGTTTTTTGTTTAGAGGCTTAATTAGCAGTTGGTACAACTTGGGAGGTATTGTTGTTCTCTTCACGGTAATATTCGGATTCTGACACGGGCAAAGAGCAATGATTAAGGCCCGTGTAGCATTAACCCACAAACATCCCTAATACTATAGTATACTATATTTAATAGGGTTTATCAAGAACGCATGAAACCCCTAAGCCCCTTAGGGTTTTGGGTTTTGGGTTTAGGTCTCTGGCGGTGAACCTTCAAACCCTGTAGCCCTAACTCTAGTGTAGGACTGCAAGGAAAGGAGGCGACTGGGTGAAGGATAGGGACATGCGGCCCTCAGCGTAGGGCTTTCTCTGGGACATAGGGTCGCTTGTGCGAGTTTGGTTGAACATGTTGGTGAAATTTGAGTTGACTTGTGAAGTATAGGGTTTAGGGTTTTAAGGTTTAGGGTTTAGGGTTTAAGGAGTTTAGGGCTAGAGTTTCGAACCTCGCGGTCGAGGGCTCAGGGATCCATACCGTGGCGGCAGGAGCAGACTGAGTGCTCCATGGATGTCGCTGCCAGCTTGCCTATCCTCATCAACATAATTTGCCGCCCGGGGTTCTCCTTGGAAACGTTGTTCGTTTTCACGTAGGGTTTAGGGTTTAGGGCTTAGGGTTTAAGGCTCCCCTCCCTCGGCTTCAGTGGTGATCCAGGTATCTCCTGACAGTTTGCTTCTAACTTGACTTTAACCGACGCTTGAGCAATAGAAGCACAGCACGAAGGACCCGTACGATCTTTAGGGTTTAGGGTTTAAATTTAGGGTGTAGGGTTTAGGGTTTAGGGTTTAGGATTTAGGGTTTAGGGTTTAGGGTTTAGTGTACATGTATGTACATAGTACTGTCGCTGGCTCATCTTCCCTACACCCGAAACCCTCCAGCCCTAATGATGTTCTCATAGCACCTACTACATCATTATGCCATCAAGGATTGTTTTTAACCCTTAACCCGCAAACCCCAATGCCAACCCTAAACCCTAGCCCTTAAACCCCAATCCCTAAACCCTAAACCCTCAACCCTAAACCCAGGCTGGGGCTTCATCTTCTACTTCGCGCCACTGGTATTCGGGCTTCCAGTGGTGGTTGCGGACATCAGCAGCTGAGCTGAGCTTCTGTTTGTTGGTTTAGGGCTTTAGGGGTTTAGGGCCCTAGAAAGCCTTAACCCTAAACCCTAAACCCTAAACCCTAAACCCTAAACCCTTCAACTTAGGAGGGTTTAGGGTGTGTGAGCGTTTCGGGCTTCTGTTCGGGGCTCAGGCTTGAAGGAGAGTAGGTGCCGGCGCCGCATCCGAGGTAAGCAGGCAGGCGGCATCCGCGTCATCTCGCACGGGAATCACAATCTGATGAGGCAGGAGCTTCGGTGTGCTTTTTTTTTGTTGTTTAGGGTTGAGGGTTGAGGGTTGAGGGTTTAGGGTTTAGGGTTTAGGGAGCTTCGGTGTTTTGTTTTGGGGGGGGTTAGCACAGTCTCTAGAATTGCCCTAAAGGCCCTAAACCCTTAAACCCTAACCCCTAAACCCTAAACCCCAAACCCTAAACCCTAAACCCCTAAACCCCTAAGCCCCTAAAGCTCCTAAAGCCCCTAAACCTCCTAAGCTAAGCTGCGGACCCTCGGACTCCTCTTCTGTCAGTTCTTGAGATTCCGTGCATCCTCCGAGGGCTCAGGATACACGACTTAGGGTTCAGGGTTGAGGTTAAGGCTTCGGGTTTAGGGTTTAGGGTTTGGAGTTAGGGTTTAGAGGGGTTCCCCTAAACAACTCCAGAGTCAGCAATTCTTCAAGCTTGCGTCCCCACAAGTCCTAACCCTAAACCCTAAACCCTATATCGTGCAGGGGACAGCGAGCTTCGGTACGCTTTTGGGGCACGGGCGATCCACGATTGGACACAAAGCGGCCGGGCGGTGCAAGCAACATAGGGGTCTTAAATGATTAGACCAGGGTTTTTTGGGGTTTAGGGTTTAGGGTTTAGGGTTTCGGGTTTAGGGTTTAGGGTTTAGGGTTTCTTGGTCATAGTTGGGTAACATTTTACAGTTTTAAGGGTACAGTACTTAAACCCAACAAGGAATATAAGTTAAAGTTTTTAATACGATCCCAACCATGAACTAGGTTTAGGGTTGCCAGAGAAGCTCCATCCACTGGAGAGCGTCATCTAGGGTCGGACTAGTTGCGAATAATATTCCCGGAGGGGCCCTTTGTAAATATACAGTAATAGCCCGCCGCAAACCCTCTTCTTATTACTGAGACACCCATATTAGGTAGGCCCTCGCAGAATACTACATGTTCTTCCCTCATTGGGTTTGTAGGAGGACTGTCTGTAGGAAATGAGCCACTGTAGTTGTGTCTTTTGTTTCTTTCAGTTGCTGTTAAGGTTTGCGGCCTCATGTGGCTTGGGAACTTGGGAGGCTTCCTTCGCTCTCTTGTTTCAGATTTCGGGAGTTTTTTAGGGTTCAGGGTTAGGGAGTTTAGGGGTTCAAGGGGTCAGGGGGGTTGTGGTCCAGGGTGTCTAGGGTTTTCAGGGTTCAGGGTTGAGGATTCTGCAGGGTTTAGGGTTTACGGCATGGGGGCTCCTCACGAGTTCTTCCTGGGCCATCGGGGAATTGGGTGTAGGGTTTAGGGTGTAGGGTTTAGGGTTTAGGGTTTAGGGTTTAGGGCTACCCACACCCCAACCCCAATTTCGGAACTTGGGCGGCTTTCTTTGCTGGCCGAAAGGAGATATTTGGGAGAGGGGGCGGGGGGGGGGGGGGGGGGGGGGGCAAGCCCCGGTATCATCCTTTCAGTGATTTTCGAGGCTAAGCCCTAAGCCCCAAACCCTAATCAATTCCACACTTAGAACCGGAGATACTGTTACCAACCCTAAACCCTAAACCCTGAACCCTGAACCCTAAACCCTAAACCCTAAACCCTAAACCCTAAACCCCTACCCTAAACCCCTAAACCCTAAGCCCTAAACCCTAAACCCTTAATCCTCCCCTCTAATTGCACACCTAGAACCTTGAGGGGCATCGTAGCTTCATGGGTCGAGGGTGTCCTGGGCTGTTTGTGTTTTTTGGGTTTGGGGTTTGGGGTTTAGGGTTTAGGGTTTAGGGTTTAGGGTTTAGAGTTTAGGGCCCCTCCAAAGGCAGTACGACTTCAAAGTGGAGTACTTGTCCAACAACGAGCTGGTCTTGCACAAGAAGGATACCCGGGCAGTAGACGGCGTAGCAAAAATAGCCTTGGCACAAAGCCCTACACCCCAACACCGAATATCGCTAACACCCCTAAACTTTAACCCCTTTACAAACCCTAAGCTCTCACTGCTTTTGGGGTTGGACGGATGTGCTTCGCCAACGCGCGCTGGTCTTCCCGTTGTGGTGGGATGCGAAGGAACTTGCGAGGCAACACAAGTCTTCAAGTCTTTGCATCGACTAGTTTCGGAAAACATCGGGTTAAGAGAGAACCTGATTAAACAAACACGGGCATTCTTTTTCTCTGAGGAGGATACTCCCCTAAACCCTAAACCCTAAACCCTAAACCCTAAACCCTAAACCCTAAACCCTAAACCCTAAACCCTAAACCCTAAACCCTAAACCCTAAACCAGAAACCCTAAACCCTAAACCCTAAACCCTAAACCCTAAACCCTAAACCCTAAACCCTAAACCCTAAACCCTAAACCCTAAACCCTAAACCCTAAACCGTTACCCCTGCAAACTCGAGGTTTCCCTAGGCTCAGAATATACCACAAGCTTTAAAGCCGTGACCCCCTCAACCCTTCAACGCCTAGACCCTGAGAAAAGGCCCTCAACGCCACTCACTTTCGATCCCCCTAAGCCCCTTAAACCCCTCACCTTGCATCTAAACCCCTGAACCTCTAAACCCTAAATCCTGAACCCTGAACCCTAACCCTAAACCCTAAACCTTAACCCTAAAAACTAAACCCTAAAACCTAAACCCTAAACCCTTCCCAAAGCCCCCCCCCCCCCCCCCAAAACCCTAGGCCCTGGCTTCTCCTTCAACTAGGACCCAGAGTAGCCCCTTATTGATTTCAGGGTTCTGGGTTTGGGGTTTAGGGCTGTGGTTCTGGGTTTAGGGTTTAGGGTTTTTGGGTAGAAGGTTTAGGGTTTAGGGCTAGAACCCAGAGTAGCCTCTTACTTTCCCTTTTTGGGGTGGCCTGCAGGTTCCCTGATACGCCAATCTTGAACCTTTCTTTCACTTTCTTTGGGGGGGTGGGGGGGTGGCGTCAGGTTCCCAGTGTGTAGGCCCCTTGAACCAAAACGGGCACCCCTTTGAATTCCTGGGCTGCTCTTGGGTCCCTAAACCCTAAACCCTAAACCCTAAACCCTAAACCCTAAACTCTGATTGTGGGTTCGGGCTCTTGGGTTCTTGGGGTCTCGTCAAGCTATTCGAGCTTCTCAAGCCCCGGGATCGGTACAAAGGGGTTTAGGGTTTAGGGTTTAGGGTTTAGGGTTTAGGGTTTAGGGTTTAGGGTTTAGGGTTTAGGGTTTAGGGTGTAGCCCGTCAGCATCTTGAGCGAAGGACGGCAGTGCTGTCCTGGACAACCACCAGTCCTCCAGCGGAAGGTTCCAGGCTGCGATACTGAGTTCGTGTTGCCCTAAACCCTAAACCCTAAAGCCTAAACCCTAAACCCTAAATCCTAAACCCTAAACCCTAAAGCCTAAACCCTAAAGCCTAAACCCTAAAGCCTAAACCCTAAACCCTAAATTTAAGAGCCTCCGGCTCAAGCCGCCGACCCCGCTGGAGCATAGTTGAAAGGTTTAAACGCGCAAAGGATCCAAAAGTTGATTTGCTTGAGCCTCTGTGAAACGCTGGGGGGGGTGGGGAGTAGCACCAGGACCCAAACAGGAGCTGAAGCCAGCTTGAAGCCCCGTCAATTTGTTGAACAGGCCAAGCGTACCAGGGTAGGGGGGGTGGGGGGGTGGGTCGGGGGGTCGGGGTGGGGGGGGGGTAGGGGGGGGGGGGGGGGGGTAGGGGGGTAGGGGGTAGGGGGGGGGGGGGGAAAGGGCCCCTATGTTCTGTGCGAAACCGCCTATGGTCCGCGGTGTGGGTCCCCCCCGCGTTTTGGGGGGGGTAAGGAGGGAAAGAGGGAGGTTTTCACCTCCTTTTCCCATCCAACACGCCGCCAGGGTCGGCGGACCCTAACCCTAAACCCTAAACCCTAAACCCTAAACCCTAAACCCTAAACCCTAAACCCTAAACCCTAAACCCTAAACCTTAAACCCTAACCCCACGAGCCCTAAACCCTGAACCCTTGCAACCCCAGGCTCTGCACAGGTGCTCCAAATAGTGCAAGAGGTACACATGGCACATAGCGTGCCGGCGTTGTATCGAGAGCACGGTTTAAAGAACGAGTGGCCTTGAAACTTTCTTTCAAGATGGGGAACCAGAGGTTCAAGAAAGGAAACGCACCAAGTGTCGAGCGAAAATGCATGTTTGCTGCAGCACTATCGAGTGTTTTCAAGACCTGCCTAAGCTGCTCGTCCTCGCAAAAGTGTGTGCTATATCTAGGGTTTCACCTCACACCCCTGCTCAACATGACAGCAAAGTGTGTATCGAAATGCAAGGCTCCTTACGGGCGTTGTAGCCTTGTTAAGGAAATTGTGTAACAATACCACAATGCGGTTACACAGAAAATGACATATTAGCCTTCTGAAGTTGCCATAGTCGGCTTCTATTGGAAATCTTTTACTATTGAACACCATACCCCGCATTGTGAAGTAATATAGAATCATGGTACCCCAAAGTCGGCCGTACTAATCATTTGGAGAGCTGTTCTGCAAGCAGAACGTCGTGATTTCACGGTTGGGATTTTAGTTTTGCATTCTCGCGGGTTGATGCCTCAGCTGTTTTAGCATTTGAAGGCCTCAAAAAGTGTGCCTTTCGATTCATTTCAATTTGAACAAAGTGATTTCTCGTACTTGGAGGTTCATGGTACTTGTTAACGAATCAGAGCTGTACTTGTATCTGTACTTATATCATATTAGGGCACTGAAGGGGCCTATAAGTGGGGTATAAGTACACTTATAGTTGGTTAAGAAGTGCCATGGACCTCCAAGTAGGCCCGAAACCCTGAACCCCGAAAGGGCCTTGTGGGGCCGCCTAAACCCTAAACCCTAACCCTAAACCCCAAAGGCCCATGAGCTGCCCCTGTGCAGGTGAAGCCCCAGCAGGCCTTCCTCCGCACTGGCATGTTTCAAGTGCCCTACCTGCCACCTGGCTTCGAGAGGACTAACGCTAGGACTGGGAGTAGGCCTATGTTGGGTTTAGGGTTTAGGGTTTAGGGTTTCGGGGTTCGGGTTTAGGGTTTAGGGTTTAGGGTTTAGGGCTACTGGGACCGGGAGTAGGCCCTTTTTTCCTTCTTTTAGGATTTGGGTTCCCTTATGATCATCTTAAAACCAAAAAGGGTTCCCTTGTTATTCCTAGGTTACTCCCTGGTCTAGAAAACCCTGAGATTCTGTTGCCTCTCATTCTAGGGTTTCTGGGCCAGAAGGCCTTCTTGTATAAGGTATTTGGGCTATGTTGAGCCTAAGGGTATCGGGTTTAGGTTTTAGCCTCGGCCCTGAACGCTAAGTCCTAAACCTCGCTGTTCAAACCCTGAACAAATTCCCGCCCTTCAAACACGAAAGTTTGGTTAATAACATCCTGACCCTCTTTAAGCGTTAATGATGGAATAGTCCCTAAACCAGCACAGGATTCTTAATGTATCCAGTTTAGGTAACATGGGATCGGCAAGGGACGGACACATGCGGTGATTTTGGGTTCCTGTCAGAAGAGGATCTGGGTTTCAAGGTTTAATGCACCAGGGTGAATTCTAGACATGTTCGGCAATTCAGATGCCAGAAGATGGAGAGAGCGCAGGGCAAAGGGCGTCGAGAGGGGTTGGGTTTAGGGTCGTCCGATTGCAGCATGCATCTTGTTCAAACCCTAAACCGTAAACCCTGAACCCTAAGCCCTGAAACCTGAACCCTGAGCCCTCAACCCTAGACAGCCACTTTTTCTTTGAGCAGGTCGGGGCATGCCAGAATGACAAGCCCTAAACCCGAAGTCGTGGAAGCTATAACTGGGGAGCGGCGTCAACTTTTTTCTGGATCAGGGTTTAGGTTCTTAGGGTTTAGGGTTTAGGGTGGGGTACTAGTGCGTGGTTTTCGTGCGTGGTTTTCTTAGATGGCTTAGGCTTCGTAGAACTTCGGGTTTAGAATTGAGGGTTTCTGGTTTAGGGTCAGGAGTCTAGGGTGTACCCACAGTAACCTGGCTGCACCCCGAAGCCTAAGCACTACCCCAGAAACCATGAACAAATTCCGCAGTCCTCTTGCAGCTTCAGCCCTAAACCCCAATGTCTTAAAGTAAGCCCCACGACCTGGAAACCTCAAACATATCCTGACCCCACGAATGAAACCCCCCAAGCCCTAAACCCTAAGCCCTTAACGACGATACAGGGTTTGGTCAAAAAAAACATCTTAACTTGACCCCATGAATACTCTTAAACCCCCTAAACCCTATAAACCCTAAACCTTAAACCGTATAAACCCTTGACGATCCAGGGTTTGGTCGCTACTGCCTGGCATGGTCTATGCAGGCACATGTTGCGGGCCTGTTTAGGGTTTCGGGTTTAGCGTTTAGGTTTTAGGGTTAGGGTTTAAGGTTTAGGGTTTAGGGTTTAGGGTTTAGGGTTTAGGGTTTAGGGTTTAGGGTTTAGGGTTTAGGGTTTAGGGTTTAGGGTTTAGGGTTTAGGGTTTAGGGTTTAGGGTTTAGGGTTTAGGTAGAAGCCTGCCTAATTAGAATAGGGTTTAGGGGAAATATTCTAGTACAATATACAGGGACCATAAGGGAATATTATTGCTATATTACCCCGCCTACTATATAGCCTCAATTGGGGTTCAGGGTTTAGGGTTTTGAGTGAAGACCGATTCGAGAACCATATGCCCAATTCAAGCTTGCATGATTCGGAAAACAAGAGGTAAACAAATCAACAGACGCTGAGGGTGAGTAGCCCTCAACCCGACACCCTAAAAGTCCAAAACCACCCCAAACCAGGATAGCAGCGGGTGTCCTGAGCCGTTATCTACTATTCGCTTAAGAACCCCAAAAGAATAAAACTAATAATCCCTAAAGTACCCTTAATAAGGTGGAATATTTTTTGGGGGGGTTCTTAAGCAATTCTTAGTAATTTGAAGGAGATATCAGGGTGAACATCGCAAGGTTCAGGCCTACTTGCCCTAAACCCTAAACCCTAAACCCTAGAGCCTAAACCCTAAACCCTAAACCCTAAACCCCTAACCCCTAAGCAAGCCGCAGCAGCCCAAGTCGTCAGCCTGGAATCTATAGAGGGTTTGGGGTTTAGGGTTTAGGGTTTAGGGTTTAGGGTTTAGGGTTCAGGGTTCAGGGTTTAGGGCTTAGGGTTTAGGGCAAGAAGAATTGTCCCACACAGCTGACAGCTCAAGTCGCGATCGCTGTGGATGCATTGCGTATCAGGATTTCCCTATTGGGCTCGGGGTTTGGGGTTTAGGGCCTAGGCCTACTTGGACCAAGCGTATACAGGCCCTTGTTCCTTGTTTGTTTTTGTGCTTTTCGGTTTAGGTTCCCTTGTAAGCCCGTTAAAAACCAACAAAGGGTACCCCTTTGCTCTTGGGTCTAGAAACCCCAGGCCGAAAAAAAACCGAACCCTAAACCCTCAACCCTGATTGTCGGTTCAGGTTCTCAGGTTTCTTGGGGATCAGAAGGCGCCACCAAACTTAGGGGTAGGGTTTAGGGTTTAGGGCTGATGGTTTAGGGTTGAGGGATTAGGATTTAGGAGTGGAGTTGCAAGTATGATAACCTAGGTTGTAACTCGTGTAGGGCCATTGTCCCTAAAATCCCGAGACCTTGGACTGCTTTCCTTTTACCACAGGGTCAAGCGTTTCCTACTATTTGCTTGAGATCCCCAAAAGAATAGAAAAGCATAGTCCCTATACTACCCTTGTAAGGAAGACAATTTTATGTTTTTGGGGAGTTCTTGAGCAGTTACGAGTTTAGGGTTTAGGGAACAGCGGCCTCACAACATCAAGGCTCAAGACAAAGCTGTCGGCTGGGTTCAGGGTTTGGGAGTTGAGCGTGCGCCCTAAACCCTAAACCCTGAACCCTGAACCCTAAACCCTAAACCCTAAACCTTTCTCTGGAAACCTTTGGTTTGGTTGGGTGTCCGGGCGTGGCCTACGGTTCAGGGTTTTGGGCTCGAGGGGTTTGCTCACATTGGGCCTTAAAACCCTGTGAGCAGGATTGCTCCACTACCAGAACATCAGCGACAAGACGGTGATGCCCAGCTACAGCGACCTCCTTGCACCTCTTTCCCCAGAGACTCCAAAACCCCTTAATTAAGGAACAGACCTTAAACCATACTAGGGTTCCTACTATAACTTAATTAAGGGATATTCCTTAATCAAGGGCTTTTAGAGCTTTTGGGTCGAAGATGTTGCAACTCAAGGGTTCCATGGTGTTTGTTTTGTTTTTTTTGTAGGCTTGCAGGGTCCCTTTTTGGGTGTAAGAATCAAGCAGCCACGTCTCGAGGGTACCAAACTGGGGCACACCTTAGCCCCGTTAGAAAGCGCGAACGCAAGTCGCCACAGATCCAACAGAGAACCTTTCCCCCCCCCCCAACAAAAAAAAAAAAAGAAGAAACCTAAACCCTAAACCCTAAACCCTGGGGTGAAGGGGCTCTGAGCCGGAAGTAACCAGTACAGATTCCCCCGCCGAGGTAGTTGGATCTTGGATCCAGGTAGACCTTGACTGAGCACTTTGAAACCTGAAACCCTACCCCAAGCCCGACGCCCTTTACCCGAAATCCTTAGGGCATCAAGCTTTGGCCTCCCCAGGACAACCAAAACTCTTACGTAAGCCCAAGGGGGGTTGGGGGTGTGTGAGGTTCAGGGTTTAGGTTCACAAAACCCGTTAAGCAAAAAAGGGTACCATGTTTTTGCTTATTCTCCTTCTTTAGGCCCTTACAATGTCCGTTATGCAAAACAGGGCACCCTTCTTTTTGCAGTGGGGTTTATGGCTTGTGGTGTTTGTTCTTCCTGTCTTACTGGGCACCCCCTTCAAAAGAAACCCTGAAATTAAGCCCGAAACCCAAAGACTCACCTAAACCCGAAAGCCTAAACCCTAAACCCTTAACTCTAATCCCGTAAACCCTTCACTCTAAACCCAGAACCCTAAACCCTAAACCCTAAACCCTAAACTTGTGGCATTGCACCCAGGCAGCCTCCACGTCGCTATTGGCTGCATCATAGGCGGCCCTTCGCTGAACGCCCAGCAGCTTCGGGTTTAGGGTTTAGGGTTTAGGGTTTAGGGTTTAGGGTTTAGGGTTTAGGGTTCAGGGTTCAGGGTTCAGGGTTTAGGGTTTAGGGTTTAGGGTTTAGGGACGAGGGTTTAGGGTTTAGGGTTTAGGGTTGAGGGTTGAGGGTTTACGGTCGGTCTAAACCCTAAACCCTAAACCCTAAAACGACGAAAGTTGCGCTCTCGCCTTGGTGTGGGTGCACCGGCGCCCGCTGTCCTCGCAACTGCTGTCGTGTCCCCAGAGACTCCAAAACCCCCTTAATTAAGGAACGTCCCTTAAAACATAGTAGGAACCCCAATATGGTTTAATTCATATTCCTTAACTAAGGGGTTTTGGAGTCTCTGGGTTTTTGGCTTTGGGCCTTTAGCCTGTAGACTTTGGAGCTCCCATGGTCTCTCACTCGTTTGGGTCCAAAACCCTAAAACCCTAAACCCTAAACCCTTGACCCTAAGCCCTAAAGAAGACACACCGGAAGGGTGGTGGAGGTGCCGGGTTTGGGGTTGAGAGCTGAGGGTCTAGAAGCTTTCAGGCTGAGGTCTTAGAGGGTTTAGGGTTTGACCCTAAACCCTAAACCCTAAACCCTAAACCCTCAACCGTGGGGTTTTAGTGATTCAAGTGGGGGGCTTATGGGGGTTTATAGGAGTTTGCAGGGTCAATAGGGCTCAGGCTTAGGGTTCATACGGGTCTATAAGACCATGTGAGCTCCGAAAACCCTGAACCCTAAACCCTAAACCCTAAACCCTAAACCCGAAACCGTAGGGCTTTAGGAACTCAAGTTGGCAGGCATCCTCGCCCATGGCGTCCGACATAGGCAGCTGTCGCGCACTCGCCGGGGTCCTGGACATTCTCTTCCGAGGCTTTTGGGGTGCAGGCTCTGACTCCTCGAGTCCTAGGCCCTAAACCCTAAACCTTAAACTCCTCAACCCTCAGCTCCTTAACCCTTTAACCCTGAGCCCTAAAGTTAAGGGCTAAAGTCCTGATTCATGCTTCTACCTGCTTCCCTGCCCATGCCTTGCTGGCCGAGGTCTCCGCAAGGACGCTGGTTGGGGGAGGGGGGGGGGGGGGGGGGGGGGGAGGTGGAGGTTAGGGTTTAGTGCTTAGGGCTTAGGGCGTTTTCACTTTTAGGCATTTAGGATCCCTTTAGGCTTTCAGGTTTGGTCTTCGCGCTTATTGCACGTGCTAGACCCTAAAACCCCTGAAGCCCTGTATTCACAACCCTAAAGCCGAAAGACTTTAAGCCCCAAACCCATACTCCCTACTCCGGCCGGTCTGAATCCTAATCAACTTTTCTGTGGATTCTTGCCTTGAAATATGGAGTATGCGGTGGGATGCTCCCCCTGATACTAACAGCCCTTCATGGGGATTATAATGGGGATACTACAATCCCAATTAAGGACTGTTAGTATAAGGGTGAACATCCCAAGAATTGCGGATTTCCCTAAACCCTAAACCCTAAACCCTAAACCCTAAACCCTAAACCCTAAACCCTAAACCCTAAACCCTAAACCCTAAACCCTAAACCCTAAACCCTAAACCCAAATGCATGTACTTCGGGCACAGGACATCCAGAGCTTCGTCCAGGAGCTGCTGAGAAACAATCCGAAACCGGCTACTTGATTGCAGGGGTTTAGGGTTTAGGGTTTAGGGTTTAGGGTTTAGGGTTTCGGGTTTCGGGTTTCGGGTTTCGGGTTTAGGGCCTTAAGGTTTGTAGGGCTTTAGGTGGCTCATGTCATTGCTCACATCACATGGTCCAACTCTAGGCGATGATGCTTTCGTGCAGTCTCTCCAAAGCGTTACACGGTGTTTAGGGTTTAGGGTTTAGGGTTTAGGGTTTCAGGGTTTTAGGGTTTTAGGGTTTAGGGTTTCAAATTTAGGGTTTAGGGTTTAGGGTACGTGCAAACCAAGCCCAGCCGACCCAGGCCCGCAACGGTGGTTCCATGTTTTGGTTACCTCGTAAACTTTTATGCCCAGAAGTAATACTAAGGAAAACAACAGCCACCGAACGGCTCAAGTCCCAAACGAAACTGCCAGGATACCCCAAGCCCTACAAACTCTGAACCCTAAACCCCAAAACGCTAAACCCTAAACCCTAAACCCTAAACCCTAAACCGCCGTTAAGTCACTCACTCCTTTAGTCCGCGGGATGACGTAGAGGTGCGGTGCCCTCGCGGACCCAGCCGGGCCATTTGTGCAGGCGGGGCCGGATGTCAGAGGGCTTGCAGGTTAGGGTTTAGGGTTTAGGGTTTAGGGTTTAGGGTCTAGGGTTTAGGGTTTAGGGCTTAGGGTTTAGGGCTTGTAGGGTTTGGGGTTTAGGGCTTATAGGGTTTAGGGCTTAGGGCTTAGGGCTTAGGGCTTAGGGCTTAGGGCTTAGGGTTTAGGGCTTAGGGCTTAGGGCTTAGGGCTTAGGGCCTTAGGGCCTTAGGGCTTAGGGCTTAGGGCCTTAGGGCCTTAGGGCCTTAGGGCCTAGGGCCTAGGGCCTAGGGCTTAGGGCTTAGGGCCTAGGGTTTAGGGTTTAGGGTTTAGGGCTTAGGGTTTAGGGATTAGGGTTTCTAGTTTCTAGGGTTCAGGGTTTAGGGTTTTTAGGGTTGGGCTTAGGGTTTCAAAGCTTATGGCCTGCTTAAAAGGATCATATTCAGGAGTGTTGGCTTTCAAGGTCCAACCTAGTTGGAGTTCCCGCAATCATATCATGTACTGCATGTATCTGATCTCAAGGGAGGCAGTTACCATGGGACTTATCGCCTACGTATACTTGTGACTGGGGGCAGGATGGTGTCCCTTGTAACCTGATTTAAGTGCTTACGGTTTAGGGTCTAGGGTCTAGGGTTTAGGGTGCCCTCACCGCAACTTGTAGTATCCAACACAATTCTCCCTACAGCAAAGGAAGAGCAGCACGGCTTGCGGGCTTGGTGGGATATGTATGGGGTCTTATCGAAATTAGCCGCGTGAGATGAGCTTATCACACTGGAGGCTTGTAGTTGCCTCAGGATGTTTAGAAGCTGAGCACATTGGCCTTTACGATAGTCAGGGACCCCCTAATGTAGACCCCCAAACAGCAGGATCCCCTTATAATATGGACCCCAGATTGGTACCACGAATATCGTAAACCCCCACATGGATGGATTAGTAAGTAGGGTTCTGGGTTGAGTCTTTTCTTAGTAGCTGAATGAGTACACTTTACACTTTTTGGGATACTACAATCCTCTATAGAACTGAAAGGGTACACTCTTTGGGGGTTATTTGGGGCTTATGAACTCAGCAACTAAGTTTTCCATCTAGATGGACACCTCAGTCTGGAACACTGGGAGATGGATGGAGGGGGGGCTAAATTCTACATCATAGGTCAGCCAGTGAATTCCTCTGGGCATCAGCTCTATAGGTTTAGGGTTTAGGGTTATATGGTTTAGCTAGGTTGTATGCTCCAGAAGAATGAATGACATATTTGACCAGCACCTTTCTCCACTGAACTGAACCAGAGCGAGCGTACACTTTCATTCGAGCTTCTTAACCCTGCCGAGTTTTTCCGTTAGTTGCAAAGGGCAGATAACCCACGCGGATTAAATTCTTCACTGCGAAAATATATGAATATCAGAACTAATATCGCTTTATCGCGAATACTACTAAACATGCAAAGACATTGTAACACTGACCCTACAACCGGAGAGCTCAAAGCCTTGCAGAAGATCCAAGCTCACCCAAGAGATGCTTCCGGGCAGGTCAGCTGTGGCAATTTTTCGACTTCTTTGGTGGGTACACTGGCCCTGGTCGCACCATGCAGCCCGTCCCGCAAGCATTTCGTTTGTTCGGATGCAGTTCCCATGAGACCGTCATAGTATAGTGTGTAGTATATAGTATAGTACAGCCACGTATAGTATAGCATAGTATAGTATAGTATCGGATAGTATCGTAAAGTATCGTACAAAGAACGGTACAGCATGTAATCGTAATAGTACTGGTAGTAGTAAGAGTAATAGTAATCGTAATGTCAATAGTAATAGCAATAGTAATAGTACTAGTAATCGTAATAGTACTCGCAGTATCAATAGCAAAAGTAACAGTACAGTGTAGAGAACTTACCAGGTCAATTATTACGAAGAGATTACAAATACGGGCTAACATGCTATTTTAGGAGCGAAGAGAATGAGTGTCAGAGTGTGTGAATTTAATGCACTCCAGGGTGTTGTGGGCCTCCGCGCTGAGGTACTATGTCTGTCACAACATCATCTTGCCTCTCACGTGCCCGTTCAAGCTCTCCTACGCTGAGCTGGTGGCGAGCTTAGGGTGCGTGGGTAGGGGGTTTAGGGTTTAGGGTTTAGGGTTTAGGGTTTAGGGTTTAGGGTTTAGGGTTTAGGGTTTAGGGTTTAGGGTTTAGGGTTTAGGGTTTAGGGTTTAGGGGGGGCAAGCGGGGGCAGGAACTCCACAGTTTAGGGCTTGGGGTTGGGGGTTTAGGGTTTAGGGTCCTAAGTTGGCTGATGCACCACATCCTGCATGACCTGCTATATCCTTGACGCTAGCACCCTGAAATTGTGGCGGGGTAATGCAGGTTGTGGCCACAGCAGTTGTAGTTACTGCTCTGAGGTTGCTAAACCCTAAACCCTAACCGAAACCCTAAACCCTAAACTGTAAACCCCACACCTTGCCTGAGCATGTGACCCAGGCTGGTCCTACAGACGTCCGCTGGTTCGTCTCTCACTACTGGGGGCCCAGAGCTCGGTCTATCCTAGCCAGTCTAGACAGGTTTAGGATTTAGGGTTTAGGGTTTGGGGTTTAGGGTTTAGTCTTTATTACGGGTTGAGGGATGCAGCATAAGGGTTTGCGATGCTTTCGCAAACGGCGTGTTCCCGACGCCTTCAAGGCACAGTCCCATACACGCCCATGATGTCCTTATCTTTCCCCAGAAGGTCTGGGCATCCTAGCCCTAAACCCTAAACTAAACCCTAAACCCTAAACCCTAAACCCTAAACCCTAAACCCTAAACCCTATAAACCCTAAACCAATTAGGCACGGGGCCGCGACAGATATAGTTTAGAGCTTCATGGGTCTGCTTCCAGGGCCCGAATTGCTGACCCTCAGTTTTACGCCTTTACCTACGTAGCCAGTACATGAACTTAATTTTTGTTGTGGGGTCTTTTCTTGACCAGTAGGAATACCAAACTTAAGGTTTCGGGTTTAGGGTTTAGGGTTTCTGAACATGTTGTTATTCCTTGGTTATTGGGAGAAGGAAGGGCATTTTAACACCCGCGCCCTAAGCGGCAAGACCCTCAGACGACCAGAGGCTTGGAGGTTTCGGGTTTAGGGGTTAGGGTTTAGGGCTTAGGGATGTTTAGGGTTTAGGGTTTAGGGTCTTCTGGCAAAAGAGCCTGGGGTTCGGGGCGTAGGAGTACTTTGAGGGGCGGAGGGGAGGGGGGAAACCCCACACCCTAAACCCTGAACCCTGAACCCTAAACCCTAAACCCTAAACCCTAAACCCTAAACCCTAAACCCTAAACCCTAAACCTAGCTCAAGACCAGAGTTGCCCGAGGACCCCCTTCAGCCACTTTGTGAGTACGGTGTGCCGGGCAACCCAGAAGGAGGTTGCTTTGGAACCTGGTCGGGTTTAGGGCTTTAGGGTTTAGGGTTTAGGGTTTAGGGTTTAGGGTTTAGGGTTTAGGGTTTAGGGTTTAGCGTCTGGTCGTTCTTTTTCTGCCTGATGAAAGAACTTGTTGTGTTCAGGGTTTCCGTAATACAAGGTTTATAGGCTTTATAGGCTTTCTAGGCTTTCTAGGCTTTCTAGGCTTTCTAGGCTTTCCAGGCTTTCTAGGCTTTATAGGCTTTATAGGCTTTATAGGCTTTATAGGCTTTATAGGCTTTATAGGCTTTATAGTGACTAGTGTGGTTGAGATGACCCCCCATGAACTGAAAGCAATCTGGGCTTTGGCTTGGGGAGGGTCGTAGAATGAGGAACCTCATGCCATTCTCTGGGTTTGCACCCTACATCCCCAACAGTCCGTGGTAGACCCGGTGAGTCCCAACACGCCCTAACACGACCCCACAAATCCCTGATTCTAGCCCTTGATGACTGACCGTATGCTTGCGAAGCTCTGTCGTAACGCAGATCGGCCCTGGAGCATCCTCGTTGTGCACGGGGTTTGGGTTAAGCAGGCGTTCCGCCGCCCTTCGGTCCGTTTACCTATGTTGTATATATGCTTGGTCCCTAAACCTACTCCATCGGAACCCTTGGTGAAGGCCCTCGAGTACCTACGTAGGCACGAATGCCCTAAAGGTCCATGTATCATATTCTTCTAAACCCTAAACCCTAAACCCTAAACCCCAAAGTCCTTACATAGGAAGCGGTCCTGTCCTTCAGCTCGCTTTCGGTCGAAGCGAGCTTTGAGGGGTTGGCTTTTTGCATCTGCGTCCCCAAGTTGTTTCGTTCTCTTCTACATAAGGAGACTGGGTTTAGGGCTTAGGGCTTCGGGTTTATGGCTTAGGGCTCAGGGCTTAGGGCTTAGTGCCTAGGGTTTTGCGAGGTTCGGGTTCGGGGTGTTCGGGGTGCTTGGGGAGTTTAGGGTCTTGCAGGCAGCAGGCAGGGACAACCCTACCATGCACGCCCAGGCAAGCATGCTCAGGAGTCTTTCCTGACCCAGTCGGGATGCGACGACAGCATCTCGATGTGGCAGCATCTGTCAGGGCCTCAGCTTGCAGAATTCTAGCACGCAACACCACCTTGTCCTAAGCCCGAAGCCCCAAACACTGAAGACCCCAAAGCCTGCAACCCCAACCTCTCCCCCCCTCCCCCCCAAGTGCAAAAACATCCCCTTAACCCTAAACCCGAACCCCAAACCCTAAACCCCTAAATATCGCCAGTCGCCAGTCTTTGGCTGACAGTGTGGGCACTCCTGAGGTCATACTGGGTGTGTAGCTTCAGCAACAACCAGTGGGCCGTGGAGGAGGCGGAATCAAGCCGTTGCGCGTTGATTACTTCCCTTCAACCTTCTTGTGGCTAATTCACAGACATGAAAACCCATAGATTCACAGTGCATTGTAATGCCCATCAGATAGTCTAAATGCATAGAGCAGCATACATTTCAACTGGTTTCTGATTTTAGCAACAGAATTTCGAGGAATCCTGCAGCATGCCTGCCTCTATTTGTTTAGGCCCCTTGGTCCCAAAGTTTAGGGTTTAGGGTTTAGGGTTTAGGGTTTACATCTTGGCTTGGTGACTTGCTCCCGTGTAGATCTCTGTGGTCAAAGCATGGCTGGTCGCGTGGCCCCAGAAACCTTTGGTGCCCGCCACTTTGACAGCCTTGGAACAGAACATGGCACCGGAGAAGCAGCGTCTCTCCAAAGGAGAGCGAGTCTTGGAAAGTGTCAAATGTTTGCATTTCTGTTCGTTCTTTTGGTCGCATGGACCATTTTTCGTCTTGCCTGGAATGTTGGGAAGATCATACATCCCAGTGGAAATGTGGAGATGTTTTACGATGATCGTTGGCCGCTTGGATTACGACTGTTTGATGGGATCCTTCGGCCTGTGATTAGTTCTCTGAGTTTGGGTGTGTTTGCCTCCCTTCGTGACGTCGAACACCTGATGGTGATCACTTTTCTGGGATGCTTCATGGTGGCGATTATTTCTGCTGCCGTGGAGTTGATTATGGCAACTGACTCGGTGCCATCGTCCGACATGGAGAGCTCACTCCAGTTTTATCGCATGGCGACCCGCTTAGCTCTGCTGTTAGTCACACTCACACAGCTTTTTGCATTTGATCGGTGCATCCTGGGAATCTGTGCTGTTATCTTCTTTGTGCTCGCGCTGCTGGGGAGCCTGCTCTTGGAGATTCTTTTTTGGATCGGCTGGGTTCTGTACATCACCGTGGTAGCGACAACTCTCTTTTATGAGGCGCATGTGAAGCAGAAGATGTTCCAAAAGAAGAAATCGAAAGACAAAGACTTCAACCGACATGTGGCCAGAACTTTGCGGCTGCTGCGACTGGGTGGTGTTCTGACCATAATCGATGGCCTTTACGTTCCTTCCCGGGCAGAGACGATTCTCAGCCCATCGTTGGGTTTTACACTCGACAACCTCATTGTTTTCGCTTGCATGTTCGTGAAAGGTGGTTTTTTTGGTGGAAACGAGATGGTTGACCAACTTCAGGTCATTCACGAGCTGGGCTACTTAGCTCGAACAAATGGCAAGCGCGTTGCATTTCCGGGCCGAGTGAACCTGGATTCTCAGGACTGCATTGTGAGTTTTCCTGGGAAATATGCAGATGAAACTGGGCTTTGTGTTGGTGATGGTGAGGGTTTGGGGATTCAGTACTAGGTCTGTTGGTAACTACAGAGAAACGCGTCGGGGTAGGACTGTTACCGAGGCTTCTCCTAATACTAAACGGAACATCATCAAGATGGTTGTACATTCAGCGTGCCTCGGGAGGGAGGAACTCCAGGCTCAAAACCCCAATCCAACCTGAAAACCACCCCGTCCCCAAAAAAAAACACTCATGTTGGGTCGTGATTGTTCTCATGCATCATCCTAGTTTTGGTTATAGAAGGTTATAGACAACCTCAAGAACACGGGTTAATGTTGAGATACTAACCATGGTGAATGCGCCTTTTCATTCCCCTGTTCCAATGCCATAAACCTTATGATTGCTCAACCATATCAGAATTGAACTGGTTTATCATTGTTCTATGGATTTCCATGGGGTTTCCATCCCACTTCCTGAGGGATACCAACTTCCAGAGCCTCTGAGGAATGGGACGACGTGGTGCGGATGTCTCAACAACGTCGCGGTGCCCCCAGCTTGGCGTGTGTGTTTCTGACCGATGAAGCGTCGGGTTTGGGGAGGCACCAAGAGAACCCGGAGCAGCCGGGCACCTGCTGGTGCAAGGCCATCTACGGCCGATTGCCAGCGGCTGCTTACTTGAGCATCGTGGAAGATCCTGGCCAATTGACTGCAGATGAGCTGATGTTCAAGGAAGCAGATGCACGTGCTATGGGCCAAGTCTTTCTCGAACGCGCGCAACAATCGGATGAGCAATGGAAGAAAGATAAGGACGAGGCAAAAATCAAGGCTGAACAGAGGTGCGAGGAGAGCAATGGCCTCGCTCCGTGGGGTTGTTTTTGGTTCCACCAATGGTTGCGTGAAGTGGAAGAGGCCAAAAGGCATTCCCAAAGGTTGCATGTTTTCTATTTTGAAGACAAAGTCGGATGTGGAAAGCTCCCTTGGTGCGAGCTGTCAAATGAAGCTTCCGTCCGAAGGGCCCGCGAAAACAGCGGCCTGGGCGCATCACAGACTGCTGAGGTAGCCTACCTTGAGCGTTCGGGTTACCGCTTTGAAGAGCACGATGTGAAGACATTTTATGAATTCATAAGGTCGCACAGCAATGCCGATGCCTAGTATTCAACTCAGTTTCACGCAGAGCATTCCTCCGCGAAAAGTTCAACTTCCTCACCTGCATGCAGACTGTTGGGGTTTAGGCACGTCGTTGTTTGGTGCCCTGGGCCTCCCCAGCTTAAGTCAGTTATGAAAGCTTTCCGATAGAGGTTGCTCCCAACTTTTGAACGGTCTTTGCTGGGGTAGTGTAGGCTTAAGGTCTATGCTTTAGGGCGCTTGTCAGTTCAAGCCCTCAGTGCTAAATCCTAAACTTTAATAAGTAAATCTAAGCTTTAAACCCTCAATCCCTAAACCCTGAACCCTAAACCCTACTTAGGCAACCCTCAATCCTAAACCCTAAACTTTGAAACACTAAACCCTAATCAGATACTTGAAGCCCTGAAGCCCTAAACCCTGAACCCCAATCCCCGTCTCTTCGCAGGAAGTGGGAAAGAACTGGGACGAGTCGTCCTTCTACCTTGCGATGCGCAGCACTGGCAGCGCCTTGACGGTTTTGAGCTGGGACCCCCGAAGCCCCACAAGCTCCACAAAAACTCATAGAAACCTTCTAAACAACCGAAAGAAGCTACACAAAAGCTCTTGAAGATCCTATAAACAGCCTGCAAAAAGCTTGTAAAACAAACACCTCAAATCCTAAACCCTAAACCCCAAACTGCAAGCTCTTCACCCCAATAGCCCATGCTGTCCAAATCCGAAAAATCCTTTCAAGATGCCTTGAAGTCCCTGGCATGCACAGATATAATTAGTCCTAAACTCCAAGGTTTAGGGTTTAGGGTTTAGGGTTTAGGGCTTAGGTTTTAGGGTTTAGGGTTTAGGGTTTAGGGTTTAGGGTTTAGGGTTTAGGGTTTAGGGTTTAGGACCCTAAACCTAAACCCTAAACCCCTGAATACCCTAACTACGCCCTAACCCCTGCACCCTCAACTCCAACCAAACCCCGACCCCCAAAAGCCTCCTTTCCCTAACCCTAAACCCTAAACTCCAACCAAACCCTGAACACAAAAGCCTTATTTTTAAGGCAAGGGCACGGTCATGGTCTTCGACGAGGAGGCTCTTCCTTTGACGCGATCGTGGTTCCTTGGTTTAACGTAAGCCCTAGAACCCTAAACCCTAAACCCCAGAACCCAAAACCCTGAATGTTGAGGGTTTAGGGTTTTCGTGTGCCGTAGGGCTTGACCCTATCGGACTATAACATCCCAAAAGTTGGGATCATACCCCCTGCGCGACGTACTCTGTACTCTATGTAGTTAGGGTTCGAGTTAGGATTTAGGCTTTTGGGTGTAGGGTTGAGGGTTCATATCGTGGACCTATTGATTCAAGGTTTCGGGTTGGGGGCTTGGGGTGTAGGTAGGCCTAGGGTCTCTATGGGCAGGGTTGAGGGCTTTGGGGGGGGGGGGGGGGGGGGGGGGGGGGGGGGGGGGGGGGCGGTTTAGGGTTTAGGGTTTAGGGTTTAGGGTTTAGGGTTTAGGGTTTAGGGTTTAGGGTTTAGGGTTTAGGGTTTAGGGTTTAGGGTTTAGAGGGTGGGGAGGAGAAGCGGCTGGGAAGTTTTTTGTTTTGGGAATCGAATCCTCGTTCGAGAGCCTGCTGCCCACAAGAAGTATATCCCAGCAGTGTTTTAAGAATTTGGGTCCCAGGGCCGTAGACTCTAAGCCCAAGCCCTGGTGCAATCCTAAGATCTGAAGCCTGTGGACCCTAAACCCTAAAACCCTAAACCCCAAACCCCAAACCCTAAACCCTAAACCCTAGACCCTAGACCCTAGACCCTAAACCCTAAACCCTAAACCCTAAACCCTAAACCCTAAACCCTAAACCCTAAACCCTAAACCCTAAACCCTAAACTCTAAACTCTAAACCCTAAACCAAACCCCACAGCCAGAAGCCGGCCAAGGTGCCTCTTTGAGTTGCTGCAGACGCAGCAGCTGAGTCTCTCAGCTCCATGTTGGGTGTAGGGTTTAGGGTTTAAAGTTTAGGTTTAGGGTTTAGGGTTTAGGGTTTAGGGTTTAGGGAATAGGGTTTAGGGTTTAGGGTTTAGGGTTTAGGGCCCTGAAGACCTGAAGTCCTTAAGCCATGAAGTCTTTAGTTCCCCATACGGTTGACCCCAAATCCTTACATCCCCTAAACCTCAGGTTTCCACAGGATAAAAAAGACCTCTTAAGCAATCCCAAGGTTATTCGGAGTGAACCCTAGTCATACTGCCCCCTACAACCATGTGACATGTACAGGGTAAAAAAAAGGGGTTTAGGGTTTAGGGTTTGGGGTTTTGGGTTTTGGGTTACAGGGTAAAGGAAAGGGGTATACAAGGTTTCCCAGATTCCGGGCCCATATGAAGGGACCATGTGACACCCTACACCCCAACCCCTAGACCCTAAACCCCAAACCCTAAACCCCAAACCCTAAACCCCAATCCCTAAACCCTAAATCCCTAGACCCTAAACCCCAAACCCTAAACCCCAAGCCCTAAACCCTAAACCCTACACCCTGAACCCCAGACCTCGGAGGCCATGAGCGCCCGGGCCGCTTTTTGGGGCTGATGCTCTGCTCGCCGCCGCATGGACGAAGAGGGGTTGTTAGGGTTTAGGGTTTAGGGTTTAGGGTTTAGGGTTTAGGGTTTAGGGTTTAGGGTTTAGGGTTTAGGGTTTAGGGTTTATATAATGTTTGGGGTTTAAGGGTAGAGGTTTGGGGAGTTTGAAGGGCCATTAGAGCCTAAGGGCTTATGGGTTTACATGTTTTTTGGGTTTGTTGCCCACATGAAGCTCCACATAGCTGGGCCAAAACAGCGGCATGTAAAGCATGATTCTGTTCTAGTGATAGACCACGGACTGGGTTTAGGGTTTAGGGTTTAGGGTTTAGGGTTTAGGGTTTAGGGTTCAGGGTTTAGGGTTTCGGGTTTAGGGTTTAGGGTTTAGGAGGTTAGATCCCTGTCACAGGTGAGTGGAGGGGCCGCATGCCCCTCTGCTCTTTCAAGCCCAGACCTCTTAAGGAACCCTGAAGAGAAAATGACTTCAATAATCTGGATTTCAGACTTGGCCCTCTTAAACTTAGGGTTTAGGGTTTAGGGTTTAGGGTTTAGGGTTTAGAGTTTAGGGTTTAGGGTTTAGGGTTTAGGGTTTAGGGTTTAGGGTTTAGGGTTCAGGGTTTAGGGTTTAGGATTTAGGGCTAGCATCTCCTCTTGCATGTGTTCGTGCGGGGTGCCCTTCAAAAACGGTTTGGGGCTTGGGGGTTTGAGAGGGCTTTATAAGGTGTGTCTCACAGCTCCCATCGTCGGACCTGCTCTAAGGGTAGTTCTATATGGGCCCTAAATCTGGTCCCTTGCCGCCTTTATCCGTGCGCTTGAGAAAGACGAACTTAAGAAGAGCATCAGCAGCTGGTCGGCCTAGGGATCTCTTACCACCAAGGGAGAGCGAGCCTGGCAGAGATGTTCCGGGTGTGGTGTCAGGTCCCTTGGTCGACAAATGCGATGCACTCTGCATTGCTTACGTCGGGACTATGGTTGCGATTCGTCAGAGCTTATCACTCGAAAACCAGATAGAGAAAATTGCAAAAGTTCTGGATACGAACGAGTGCAAAGGCATCCTCGCGTCGTTCAGGCTGTTGGTCGATCCAAAAGGAGGTGTGTCTGACATCATGCGAATGAACGCCGTGGTGAGAGCAAGCGATTCAAGGCCCGCATCTTTAAGAATGTTGAGAGCTTCAGGTTCTGAAACGTATGGGCCCTTGGGTTGTATCTATACGGGTTATATCCCTTTTTGGCTTCTAGGTTTCCGTGTAAAGTAACCAACCCCCAAAAGGGTACCCTTGTTGTAATCTGGTTGCTGGGCTACTAAGGGGGCCCTTCATGTACCCCACTCTATCCCATTAAGTCCGAGCAGGGTACCGTTTTCTCCTCATCACTGACGCTAAACCTAAACACTAAGCCCTAAACCCTAAACCCTAAGAACGCCCCAAGCCCTGAATGGTCTAGGGCTCAGGGCTTCGAAGCCCTGAACCCATGCACCCCCGGCAGAAACCCTCAGCCTTGACTATTGGGGATTTCGAATACAGTTAAAAGTTTCTGTGGGTCCTACTCCCTAGATAACCCTGAGAACCCTTTAAAATGTAAAGCCTCAACCCGTAACCCCTAAACCCTAAACCCCTAAACCCTAAACCCTAAACCCTAAACCCTAAAACCCTAAACCCTAAACCCTAAACCCTAAACCCTAAACCCTAAACCCTAAACCCTAAACCCTAAACCCTAAACCCTAAACCCTAAACTTTCTTATAGGTTTCCCCAAATCTCCCCCAAGTTGAGGCTTGGCGTCATGAACAATGGCAACGGCTCCATGGACCTGGCGATGAACGTAAGCCGCGGCTCGGCCACAGAGCCTTTTCGCCTTTTTGGTTTTAAGGGTTTAGGGTTTAGGGTTTGGGGTTTAGGGTTTAGGGTTTAGGGTTTGGTGGGGTGTCAGGGTTTCTGGGGTTTTTTCCGGCTTGATACGGTTTAGTTTTTTTTCGGGCTTTCTTGGGGTTAGGGATGCAGAGGCTTTGAGGGCCCAAGTGGGGCACTCTTGGGCTTGAGAGGGTGTTAGGGTGTTAGGAGGACCTTCGGGCGTGAAACGGCTTTAAGGACCCTCAACCCTAAACCCTAAACCCGAAACCCTAAGCCCTAAACCCTAAACCCTACACCTTGCGGGGCGGACTGAGGTTGCGGGTTTGGGCTTCGGGTTTGGGATTGTACGGCTTGGGGCTTGGGGCTTGGGGCTTGGGGCCGAAGGCTGGGATTTCGGGTTTAGGGTTTAAACCCGGGTTTGGGTGGCGGCAGAGGGGCCCTGGCCACCCCCGATGCCCGAGTCCTGGGCCCCACCGCCCAAGGGGATGGGTTTAGGGTTTAGGGTTTCGGGTTTAGGGTTTAGGGTTGAGGGTTGAGGGTTTAGGGTTTAGGGTTTAGGGTTTAGGGTTTAGGGTTTAGGGTTTGGGGTTTAGCGGAAGCAGAACATGAAGCCGAAGGACCTGTGAGAGAGAAGCACAGGCGTGACAGGCAAGGAATTGCTGCGAGAAGCAAAGGCTTCTCCAAATGCCCAGACCCCAACCCTAAACCCGAAACCCTAAACCCTAAACTCCCAACCCTAAACCCTAAACTTCAGACCCTATAAACCCCCCAAACCCCTAACCCCGAACCCAGGTAAGCTCGCCAGCCTGCGCCTCGAGGATGCCAGCGCAAGCAAGGCAAATGGGTTCAGAGTTTTTTGGGCTCTGGGGTTTTAGGGTTTAGGGTTTAGGGTTTAGGGTTTAGGGTTTAGGGTTTAGGGTTTAGGGGGTTTAAGGGTGATACTTTGTTCTCTTTTTCAGGGATAGAGGCGCTGGCTCATGATTTTTGGTTGTAGCGGCTCAACATCTACGACTCCCAGGCCCCAGAGTAAGCCCTCATTCCCTTTTGTTCGGGTTAAGGTTCCCTTTTAAGCCCCTGTAAACCTAAAGGGGCACCACCCCGATTTATTCCTAGGTGCCTCTTGGGACTGGACATTCATTCTAAGCACGCATGCATTTTGAAGCCTGAGTCCTACACCCTAAACCCTAAACCCTAAACCCTAAACCCTAAACCCTAAACCCTAAACCCTAAACCCTAAACCCTAAACCCTAAACCCTAAACCCTAAACCCTAAACCCTAAACCCTAAACCCTAAACCCTAAACCCTAAACCCTAAACCCTAAACCCTAAACCCTAAACCCTAAACCAAGCAAGCATACATTTTGCAGCCTGAGTCTTAAGCTTCTGAGCCGACTGAGCGTGGGGAGTCCCCACAGGCACCCAACCTACCAAGAGCTTCATTCCTTGCAGGGTTTAGGGTTTAGGGTTCAGGGTTTAGCGTTTAGGGTTTAGGGTTTAGGGTTTAGGGTTTAGGGTCTAGGGTTTAGGGTTCAGGGTTAAGGGTTTGCGGTCTATTTAGGGTTTAGGGGCTTGATCTTGACTTTAGGGGTAGGAACGTCGTCTCTGCTGGGTTGCATACCCCACCCCAATTGCAAGTCTTTGTGGGTTTGGGAACTTAGCTCCCCCAGAATACTATACATCAACCACACAAACCCTAAACCCTCAACCCTCCACCTTCAACCCTCAACCCTCAACCCTCAACCCTCAACCCTCAACCCTCAACCCTCAACCCTCAACCCCCAACCCCCAACCCCCAACCCTCAACCCAGCAAAGAATCTGCCGTCAATAAATCTGGGCAAAGAAGCCCACACTGGAAGCGCCAAAGCACGATGTGCCCCTGAACCCGAAGGCCCCCAGCCTTAAAACCTATACTGTAGGGGTCGGGGTTTAGGGCCAGTTTAGGATTTAGGGCTTAGGGTTTAGGGTTTAGGGTTTAGGGCCAGTCTAGGGTTTAGGGTTTAGTGTTTGAGTACTAGTAGTGTTCCGTCATGGCCCCTTGTAGTTGTACCATAATAACCCCCAAAGCCCTGTTCTAACTACTAAGGTCCCTATATTAAGGTATGCGACTATTTGCCTTAAGAACCCCCCCCCCCCCCCAAAAAAAAAAAAAGTTTTTGCCAGGCTGCTGACAAACAGATGATCGACAACCTCGTGCCTTGCCAACGCTTTCGGGTTTAGCGTTTAGGGTTGAGGGTTTAGAGTTTCGCTTTAACATCCCTGAACCCTAGTAGAACCAAGACCCCAAAACCAAAGTAGAACTGAAATCCTCAGCTCGGGCTAGATTCTCGACACCCTAAACCCTAAACCCTAAACCCTGAACCCTAAACCCTAAACCCTAAACCCTAAACCGCAGCTCTGTACTGCTGGGAATGCCCGTTGAATGTATCGCAGCCTCTTGTTGCTTTCTGGCTTTCGAGGAACGAGCTCTTTTGCGGGCTTATAGGGTTTAGGGAGGGAAGTTGAAGGTTTAGGGTTTACGGGGCTTAGGGAATTTTAGGGTTTAGGGTTTAGGGGCTTCAGACAGTCTTGCAGGATGTGAAAGAAGTCCCACACACCCGAAGCCGAAATACTCGACTGAACCCTAAACAGCAAAACCCCTAAACCGTGGCAACTTATCCTCCTACTGTATGCCCTCCACCCATAACCCAGCAACCCTCAGCACTCAGCACTGAGAGAGGTTTGCTTTGTGTGCCGTTGTGTGACATGGCCAGCTTCAGTTGTGCCGGCTGTCGTATTTCAGCTGGACTTGCCATGTTTCCGACTGCAGGGCCCTCCACATTAACCGCCAGAGGATGCTCGAGGCTTTAGGGGTTTCCAGATTGTTAATACCCGGTAACCATGGTGTAGTGTGATACGTAGCAAGTTTGAGCTTAAGATGTGTTCGGGGTGGAGAGTGTCGGGCACATGACGCGCGAAGCCTGTCTCTGAGATTCGGAGCCGTGTGAACTTTTTCAACAGCTTGGGATGTTGAGTACAAACACATGTGAGAGAACCTGCAATTTTACAAGCACATGCTTTTGGTCAGCATCCTCCAAACAGCGCCAGAGATCTCCCGCCCCTGAACCCTGCTAGGAAGGCGAAGGGGGACGTGGGGTAGACGTCATGCCATGGCCTCCTCATCTCCGCAGGTTTTGGGCCTGCCATCTTGGAACTGCGGGTGCAACCCGGAGGAAGAGTCGGAGCTAGACCCTGTTTTTCTGGAGACTGTGGACCTGGGGCCTTATCAGGCCTGCGGTGGCGCGGAAGGTGAGGACTTCCTAGCATCCGACTTCCTAGGATCCGAAGACAGCGTTGGCCGAGAACGTAGCCCCAAGGCCTGCGGTAGCGAGGAAGGTGAGGACTTCCTAGCATCCGACTTCCTAGGATCCGAAGACAGCGTTGGCCGAGCGCGTAGCCTCAGGCGCTGCAGTCTTATGGTGAAAAAGGCCCTCAGTGTGGACCGTGACATTATGCGGGGCATCTCGCTCAAGGTGGGTTTGAGGGGCCTGGGCCAGCTCTGGCGATTCTGCCCTGCCGATCTTCCGATCAAGGAGCGCTCAAAGCTTTGGGCTTTGTCCGGGCAAGTGGAGTCCTTCGATATCTTCCTGTCGCACAGCTGGCACACCCCTGGACGCTGGAAGGTAGTGGCTCTCACCCTTCGCTTCGGCTGGCCTCTCTTTCTTGCCTGCTCCTTTGCCTTCATCTTGCTCGCAGAAATCCTCAGCTTGCTGGAGATTCTCCCGCTTTTCACCACCTACCAGGCACGACGTAGCTCTTAGTGCATGACAGCATGGCCCAACGCATAGCGACTGGATGACTGACGCACTTCCTTTCACTGCAACACGGGTTGGAAGGGCGAGTTTGATGCTTTGCAGCATGCAGCCTGACAGGTTCAGGTTCCAGGCGGCAAGTTCGCGGACGTCCCCTTCGGAGGCTGGGGTTCTCTTGCGAGCCTGGTATCACTCCTCGTCTTCCTCTTGTGGCCCTATGTCCCGGACGCGTGTGGCAGAAATCCGAAATGCTTCCTGGACGTTGCGAGCCACACGGCCTGCTGCGAGAACTAACGTCGAAGACTGAACAGTTGCTGGTATCATCCTTTTACAATCCCGATATAGCTTTAGTTACCATAAAATGAACCGAGGCATCAACCAAGTGGACGCGGAAGCCATGCAGCGTGGTATTTATGGGCTTGGAGGCTTTCTCGCGGCCTCGGACACTCGCAGAGCATGGGCGGTTTTAGGGTTTTGGGGAAGTGCCCTTGGTCTTCTTGAAAGAGTTGTTCAGATTTTCTTTACCATACGGTTCATCTACTCAGTCTAAGACCCTCTAGCCAATTGCTCATTTCGATTTTTGGGGCTGCTGCAGAGCAATTAACCCCAAACATCCCCAAAAGTATAGTATATAGTATATAGTCTATAGTATATAGTATAATCCGCTGAGCCCCTATCGATCTCTTTGTTGCTCGTCGACGGGGAATCCTAGGACAGGCTTCTGATCCTCTGGAGCAGGCCTTACCTCTCCAGGTCCGACTCTCAGTGTCCAGGGTTCAGGGTTTAGGGTTTAGGGTTGAGGGTTCAGGGTTTAGGGTTCAGGGTGTAGGATTGAGGGTTCAGGGTTTAGGGAATAGGGTTCAGGGTTAGGGTTTAGGGTTTGGGATGCTACACTCTTCTGTGGCTTGCTGCAGTCCACAGTCGTCTCTTGTAAAAGTAGGTGTTGTGGTCTTTCTCTAAAGTATACTTAAGTACACCTGATCATATTCAGCAGTACGCTATCCCAATAAGGTGAGGGAATGGCGAGCGCAGAGGATGTGGCAAGTGGTCTGCAGCTGTAACAAGTTGTGTGGCATCTGTACTTACCATGGCTAGCGTAGGGCTTCGGGTAAATATGCTTGGCTTCTTGTTTAGGATAGATTGATTAGTTTAGGATCTGAGCAAATTACCGCGGTTAGCTTCGGGTTCAGGATTAGGATCATTGCCATGAATAGTTTAGGGTTTAGGGTTTAGGGTTTTTAGGGTTTAGGGATAAAGGGATCCATAAGGGGTTCCTGAAAGGGTCCTTTAAAGGGATCTATAAGGGTTCTATGAGGGAGGATCATGGGACTTAGTAAGTAAGGTTTTAAGTGCCCTGATTGGGGTTAAAAGTATTTGTAAGTATAGTTACCTTATTTGCGCGTTTCCGAAAAAGGGGGGGGGGGGTGCCTTATTCAGGAGTACGGATCCTACTATTCAGGGTACTACATTAGGGTCCCCCAATGTCGGGGGGTTTAGAACCCGAGTTACTAAGTCCCCTGATCCTTGACTTACGTTTGTAGCTGTCCTTGATCCATGTGCACAGTATTGGCTCCTTGGTAGGATGAAACCCTAACCCCAAAACCGTCGAAAAGCAGGTGGCTATCGAGCTTACCCTAAACCCGAAAGCCTAATGTCCTAGACCGACGAAACGAGGTAGTTCTCGAGTTTGATCGGAGAATCAAAGCACGCCTTTGGAGCAAGATCCTTTGTTGCAAAGCTCTAGAGGAGCAGCAGAGGGCTCCAGCAGAGAACCTTTAACGACCCGTGTGCTACTGCAGCACAGCACACTATAGGGGTCGGAACACCTTGCAAGATCGCGTGAGTGTCCCGAAAAAACAGCTTTAGTATGATGGAATATGCATCGCCGAGGCTTTGGTGTGTTTTCGAGCTGGCCGCCTATAGAACGGCGAATCCAGACGGCAAGATCACCCTGGCACCGCTCTTTGTTGAGAATGGCGCTGCCGGGTGTTGCTTGGGAGCCCACGTCATTGTGCTGCTTAGTGTGATGTCCAATCATCTGGACTTCTCTGGAGCTATTGCTTTGGTGCTCGTTTTCCTCCCCGCCTACTTCTGTTTGCATGGACTCCGATATGCGATGAGAACGAAGAACGAGCTCATCGCGCAGCTGTCCGCTTTCACGCTGGGCGCTGTGGATTGCCGGGAGGACTTTGACCGACAATACATCCACGGCGCCATTCAGCGCGCCTTGCCTAGGTTCTCCATTCTCTTTCCATTTCCACAGCCCAAAAATCCACGTCTGATTAACCCAAAGCCAAGAAGAGTCCTGGACACAAACCTGAAACTCCAATCCTACAAGGAACCCTAAACCCTAAACCCTAAACCCTAAACCCTAAACCCTACAGCCTGAAGCTCCTAAAAGCGCCTGCAGACTGGTATGGGAGCCACAGGGCCTTCGAAGCCTTCGTGCGGGGTCCTCTTCGAGAGGAACTTCTGGCAACTCAGGCAAGTATGTCATAGTAGGGTTTAGGGTTTAGGGTTTAGGGTTTAGGGTTTAGGGTTTAGGGTTTAGGGTTCAGGGTTTAGGGTTTAGGGTTTAGGGTTTAGGGTTTCGGGTTTCGGGTTTCGGGTTTAGGGTTTAGGGGGAGTATATTATGCTGATTGTCTTATTCTATATCATACGACATTTTAGAAGATTATATTCAACAATGTCCAAACCCTTGTTGACGTGTACCAAACCCTGAGCAGCCTACTTGGAGGCCTAGGGGACTCAGTAAGTCGACTGTAAGTTTGGTTACACTTGGGGTAACTTCATTTAGGGTACTTATAACTCTACTTATAGCCTACTTACTGCGTCCCCTGGGCCTCTAAGTAGGGGTGTTTTTTGTGATTGTTTTGCATTTCTGGGTTAAGTAGTGCGTAGTCGTTCTGCTCATGTTATCATTGCTACTCTGCTTGTAGATATATACAGGTTATGGTTGATATTTGTTCAGATTCCTGGTGTGCGTCGTTTGTTGCATTCCTGGCTTCGATGGGTGCATACGATATTTATGAAAAGAGGGGCATGGAACGAGTACTTTGGCGAGATATGGAGTACCCTGTTGCCAATCAGGGCCAGGTACGGACCTTACAACCCTTAAACCCAAGCCGTAAGCAACAAGCCCTAAGCCGCAAGCCCGTAACCCTAAACCTTGATCTGTTAGACTCGAGGGTTCAAGGCTCGAGACCAAGAGGGTCGCTGATGCCTCTGGCATTTGGCGCATCGTCCCTGATCCTTCGAGTTCTGAGTTCTTGTTAAGGAATTTACTTCAAGTTACCACAATATCCTAGGTCCTAGGTTAGGTGGTATTAGGGAGACCCCTTGAAACTCTCTCAAAAGGGACCTTGTTGAGAGGGTCTATATCCCCAAGGGTCCCCCTAATCCTACCTCCTAAAGTTCTGGGTGCTTGGAAAGGGGTAAAATTTAAGATACCATAATGGGGATCTATAGTAAGTGATAGGGCCTCTTTGTTATGGTAACTTAAATTCAACCCCTCAACAAGGAACCCAGGTTTCTAATGTAGAAGCCTAAGCAGTTAGCAATCGTGTTCCTTGGGGTTCCTAATGCCCCTATATTAGGTCTTTTCACGTTTGTCAACTACCGTACAGAAATACAGTGTATACACAATATGCAAATGTCGCCACCGCTCATGCAGCCACAATCTGAGCAAGATGGATACAGGTAGTACACTCTGGAATACCGTCGCAAAACAGCAATGCAACAGTATGCCCTCGAGGCGGATACCCAACTGCCAGTCGCCTACGAACTCATTGTCATCGCTCCTTTCGTTGCTTTCGGCATGGACGTGCTCGTCGGGATCATTCAGTCGCCTTCCTTGCTCTTGGAGTTTGCCGTCGCCTTCTTCTTCGGGTCGGTTTTGGGCACCTTGCTGTCCTGGAGCCTGGCCCCTCAGCTGAGATGTCGGAGCTGGGTCTAGAGAGCAGGTCTTTTTCTGATCATGTTGCGGCCGGCTCTCCGGAGGGAACCCCCGTGGCAATCGCGAGATACCCCCTCAACAATGATGTGACTTATCTTGCGTCGTAGCATATTCTAAGCTGCAGCTTTGAGCTTGGCTGGTTCTGGGCCAACAAACATAACCTACGTAAGCACCTTCCCTTGGCTCAGGGCTGGTGCAGTCTAGCTCTGGTCTTGGGCCGTACAGTATGGCAGAGTTCAGCGTAGCATACACTATTGTGCATGGTATCGCGGAGCTGTAGTAGACACTGTCGCATGCAAGCAGAGAGTTGAACACTCTTCTGCCAGCAACCTCGGAATCCACAACCCCGGCAGCAGCCATACACAATTTCTCATCTAATCCCCATGATCTGCTCCTTAGACATATTAGACGCAGTACATTTTTTCTAACGTAAAGAGATATGTCTCCCCCAAGACGAGCTGTAGATGAGGTAACGGCGTGCTGTGCGTTGCACCTGGGCCGCTTCTTCTCTGGGTCCTGCAAGTCTCGGCTGGCGGCTGCTTTGCTCGCGATGAAAGGCTTCCGGGTACTATGACTAGGATGCCCAGTAGTACCCTTACTCCCTTTTTTGGGGGGTTTAGGTTCCCTTATAAACCCCCTTAAGCAAGAAAGGGCACCCTTTTTAAGCCTAGGTTACTGGGCAGCCTAGATGAGGAATGCTGTAAAAAGGTTACTATGAGAGGTACTATGAGGTTTACTAGGCAGGATGCTGTGAGGGTTAGAGGGGTTGCTGTCAGGGTTACTTGTACAGAAGTTACCGGCAGAAGGACTATAATCTCCATCATGTTCTGAACACAGTCAGAGTCATCATTTAACATTTCCCTACTATTCTGGCATAATACCAACCAGTATGTCGCAGCAGCAGGCAGGGAGCCGCACCAACCACATCCTCCTCCCTAAAGGCGCAGTGTGTGGCGGTGTTGGTCAGGGATCCATACCAGTAGTGTCATCATGTACTACTTCAACGACTAGTGTGCTAAAACGCCCTTATAGGGCTTAAGGCAGGACCGTCCTCACGGCGCACCGTACTACTTGGCCTCCTTCTTGAACTCTTAGTCCTGGGTCCTGCTCCGTGTCAACCTGCAAGGGTAGTTTCCCGTTATCCCTGGACCTTTACAGTATAATATAATCTAATATAATATAGTGCCTTGTGGAAAGGGGCAAACCCCGAAAACGGCCGAAAACGAAGCTAAGGATCATGGGCAGTCGCTGTTGGCTTTCTTCGGGCTCCTTCTCCTAATCTACATTGGGCTGTTCTTGGGTCGCGCGTCCTACAGGCAAGGCATCCCACACAGTCTGGCGTTTTTGTTTGCATCATTGGTGGTTTGCTGGCTGGTACATGGCGGGTGGAAGAAGGTGGCTCGGCTTTGCCAGCAAAGTACGGGGAGTAGGATGAAACAGGCAGCTGAAGACGACACATGCCCTGAGAACGGGGAGACGACTCAGACAGCTGAAGCGGCTGTCAGCCAAAATGCTCCTGAGAAAGAGGAGACATGGACAGTTTAAAGTTTAAAGCTTTGACGGTTGTCTAATATAGGCGTCGGAGGGGGGTTAGTGGCTTCCGTGAGGGTTCCTGTCATACTCATGGTTTCATCCTACCCCAAAAGACAACTTCCCCTGATCCCCCAACCGGGTTTTTCCAATGGTGACGTCCAAAGGGCTGACGCACCGAAGGGTTTCACCGTTTCACATCGCCCAGAAAGCTACCAGGCAGTCACGGAGCTGTATCCTTCGGCTCAAAAAGGCGTAGGTACTATAAGGGTGCTACACCTTGTCCAGCTGGGTCTTCAGGAAGCTGGGCATCGCGGCCCCGAGCTTCTTCCAAAAATCTGACATGACCCAATGCACATGGCCTAGCTCCTCCAGCGCCTTTCCCCAAGGACTCTTGGGGGGCATCTTCGATGCTGTCGCCCTGCCAAACTGACTACCCAGCCTGCCTTGTAAGCCCCAGTGACATCTTCGCAGAAACCCAGGGATCGCTTCCTGCATGTCTGCTATAGCTTTCTAGCCGACGAGTTCGAGAAACGTTGGCCGCAACTGCTCAATTCTCAATTTGAGCACGCCGTAGGTTTTGGCCTCTGTCGCGGCGCGGCCTGCCCTGCGGCTTCCAGTTGTCGAGGTCCTGGAGCTCGGCTACTTGGAGGTTCATGGTACTTACTAACCACGTAGAGCTGGGCTTCTAACCCTACTTATACTTGGGAGAACCCCGATAAGGCCGTTTAGGGGGATTATAAGTAGGGTGATAAGTACAGTTCTAAGTGGCTGGTAAGCACCATGAACCTCCAAGTGGAGCTCGGCTACTTGGGCCATAGCGGCCCAGTCCTTGGACAGTTCCTCCTGCACCTGCGCGTCCTGGACTTGCGCTTGCACGATGTCTCTGGCATGGCTGCACAACGCCATTCCTATGTTTAGGGTTTAGGGTTTAGGGTTTAGGGATTAGGGTTTAGGGTTTAGGGTTTAGGGTTTAGGGTTTAGGGTTCTTGTGCTCAAGACATTCAACAAAGAATTGCAGCACGGCGCGGTCATCCTCAGTATTGCTCCCAGCAACCTCTGCTCCCTCAGCTGCGCAGACTCGTCGACACGAGCAATTGCTGCTCTCAGCCTTTTGGGGTTTATTGGCTTTCTTCATTAGGCAGCTTGAAAGTTAAACTTTTGCTAACCCTAGACCCTAAACCCTAAACCCTAAACCCTAAACACTAAACCCTAAACCCTAAACCCTAAACCCTAAACCCTCCTAAGTGCAGCCAAGAGGTGACCACCTACAACGGAGGCTTCTCCAAGATCAACGCCTTCCTGATCCACTCGGTTCGAGAGGCCAGGGTTTAGGGTTTAGGGTTTAGGGTTTAGGGTTTAGGGTTTAGGGTTTAGGGTTTAGGGTTTGGGGTTTGGGGTTTGGGGTTTGGGGTTTGGGGTTTGGGGTTTGGGGTTTGGGGTTTGGGGTTTGGGGTTTGGGGTTTGGGGTTTGGGGTTTAGGGCTGAAGGACTCCGATTCTTAGAAAGGAGTCTACAGGTCGACCCTGAGACCATCGGACCCGAAATGGGTTCAGGGTTTAGGGTTTAGGGTTTAGGGTTTAGGGTTTAGGGTTTAGGGTTTGGGGTCTAGGGGTTCACTGAAACCTACAGCCCCAGCCGTCTGCCCCGAACCTGTCCATCCGGTTCGCACAGGTTCTGCAAGCGACCCAAGTGCGATTCAAGGACCACGTGTCGTCTAGGGTTTAGGGTTTAGGGTTTTGGGTTTAGGGTTTTGGGTTTAGGGTTTTGGGTTTAGGGTTTAGGATTTAGGGTTTAGGATTTAGGGTTTAGGGTTTAGGATTACATCCTAAACCCTAATCGCTAAATTTTAGCGATTAGGGTTTAGGGTTCAGCTATTAGGGTGTAGAGTTTAGGGTTCAGCGTTTACGGGTTTAGGTTTTAGGGTCTACGGTTTTGTTGGGCCGCTTGCATAAGACGGGCCGTGGTGTCGAAAGCAAGTACCTTGAGGGTGTCCGTGATAGCGAAAAACTAAACCACAAACCCCGTAAATAGGCCACCTACACCCTAAACCCTAAACCCTAAACCCTCAACCCTAAACCCCAAGCCCTAAACCCTAAGCCCTAAACCCTAAACCCTGAACAACCCTTAGTCTGTGCATGCCCTTCTTGAGGTCCATCCTTTGTGTTGGGTAGGGCCGAAGCCGCGGCAAGGCTGTAAGCATGGTCCCTTATAGGTTTTAGGGTTTAGGGTTTTGGGTTTTGGGTTTTGCGTTTTGGGTGTTGGGTTTAGGTCCCTTACCGAGCTTGCCCCCAAGCTCGATAACAGTGTGCAGGAGTATATACATTCAAAAACTGAAGCGATGGGGTTTAGGGTTTAAACCCTAAACCCTAAACCCTAAACCCTAAACCCTAAACCCTAAACCCTAAACCCTAAACCCTAAACCCTAAACCCTAAACCCTAAACCCTAGCATGGCTCCGAAGGACGACTTGGAGTCCCTGCAGGTCACGCTGGATGCGGCGGAGACGCGCGAGTTCAAGACCCGTGGGTTTAGCTTAGAGTTTGAGGTTTAGGGTTTAGGGCTTAGGGCTTTGGGTTTTGCGTTTAGGGTCAGGGTTCAGGGCTTGAAGTTTGGGGTTCGTGCCTTGGGTCTCAGGTTGAAGCCCGCCAAAAGCTCTTTGCACTTCTTGGGCTGAAGGGTTTAGGGTTTAGGGTTTAGGGTTTAAGGTTTAGGGTTTAAGGTTTAAGGTTTAGGGTTTAGGGTTTAGGGTTTAGGGTGGAAGTTCAGGAACTTGGCAGCCCCGTAGTGCCCTTTGTCCTTCTTTTGTTCTAGCTCCCCTTATCAAATAACCAGCCCTTAAAAGGGTACCCTTAGAACAAATATTGTTACTGGGCTACCAATTGAAAATCTTAAACATGTAACCCTAAGATTGTACCCCTTAAGGGAACCTGGTCTTTGTCCCCAAACCGCAGGGTCCACCCTTAGTCCCAGGTAGAGTCTCAAGAACAAGGGGAGGTTTAGGGTTTAGGGTTTAGGGTTTAGGGTTTAGGGTTTAGGGTTTAGGGTTTAGGGTTTAGGTTTCGGGTTTAGGGTTCCATGATGGCACGACGTAGACTCAGTGGCTCTTAGTCAGGAAGCCCAAAACCCTGGGTTTGGGGTTGGTTCGAAACGCTACAGAAGCGCAGACACCTCAATCCTAAGGCCGAAATCCCAAAAGTGAGGAGCATGACAGCTCCGTAGCCTAAACCAGCATCGCGAAGTAAGATAGCAGCAAGCAGTGATAAGTCAAGGGAGTCATAACATGCTCCGAAAATGGCCTAGAGGATCTTGAAAAAGGGCCCTAAACCCCAAACCCCAAACCCCCAAACCCCAAACCCCAAACCCCAAACCCCAAACCCCAAACCCCAAACCCCAAACCCCAAACCCCAAACCCCAAACCCCAAACCCCAAACCCCCAAGCCCCCAAACCCCAAACCCCAAACCCCAAAC